TAAGTATTGTTTAATGGTCGAGAGCGAGATATTAAGTAATTTACAATATATTACACAATGTCTTAAGCTCGAGACCATTAAACAACTTAAAATACAGACACTTGCAAGTGCTTTACAATGAATCACATAACTCGAGTTCAATATTTTAAATAGTTACACTTGGCACATTGCCCGTATGATTATTTGAAATAATGGTACGCCAACATCAAAGGATGACGTCACATCTGTATTTTAAGGAATCTGAATCTGAAGCATTTGAGGACACACTGATCCGCAGTGAATATTCGCTAGTCCGCAACAATCACTGATAAGGATGACATCGATGCGACTTAATGAGCCAAAAATATTAACTTTTTTCCTCCGACAAATTAAATTCTATAACAATTTTTTTTATGTATTAGAAAAATAAATGAAGACATTTGAAGTATTTACAGGTAAAAATTATTTCCTATTTAGTGTAAATGGGTATTAAAATGAGTAAAAGGCAGCATTCTGCCTGATTCAGTAATGTCTTATGTAAACAATGCACGCACCATTGAGCCAATGATTGACGTGACGTCACACGTCGAAGGCAGTCATCTTTTACAGTGGTATTAGAAGGCTTTCGTTATCTTCTGTAAAACAGATTGACTTGCAGATACAAACAAATGTTTGGATTTCATCATACCTTAGAAAAGGTTTGGCAGAGAGAGAGAGAGAGTAAAATAGGGCTTAACGTCCACTCGACACAAACCCGGTCATTTCGGGACTAACATATGGTTTTAATTTTATTTCAATAATTTGTTTGCGCGTAGGGGTCTTTAGCAGTGGGAGGAAACCGGAGGACCCGGAGAAAACCCACGAGGTTGGACAGGCGACCCTACTCCTTGTCACATACAACCAGGGATTTGAAACCATGCCAGTTGAAAAAGGTTTGGGATGTCACTGCTACATTCCATTTCACAAATAGTACCAAAAGTGGGTTACATCACTTGACATCATCGGCATTGCCCTATTCCTTTTCTATTGTTTTTTAAAATGTAGTGGAATGTTTTCAGAAGGGAGGGAGTTTTCCCTACTAGAACTGCCCTGTATCAGGTACATGTACAGGAAGGGGTGGGGGGTGGCAAAGTGTTCTAAGAATGTCATGCTTTGAGATCTAGTTGGCCGGTCAGCTATTGCTTGCGGTCATGGTTTCGATCTCTGTTATGAGTGCCTTCTCAACCTGGTGGGATTACTCCAGTTTCTTTCCAAAGGAAAAACTCCTGCATGTGCGCTAAGCATGATAAAAATAATAAGACAACTTGTCTACGTTAAACAAACATGTGATGTTCGGTACAACTAGTAGGGTTGCCTGTTCAACCTTGTGGGTTTTCTCCGGTTTCCTCCCACTGCTAAAGACCCCTACGCGCAAGCAAATTGTTGAAATAAAATTAAACCATATGTTAGTCCCGAAATGACCTAGTCTGTGTCGAGTGGACGTTAAACCCCATTTCTCTCTCACTCTCTCTCTCTCTCTCTCTCTCCGGGTACAACTAAGCCTGTGTATATGCCAGAGTTATTTGATATTATATCCGGCCACCTGCGTCATTTCATATTTTGTATATTTTATATGTAGATTGTTTTCTATACATTGTTTAGAATTTTTCATCCACCTGGTAATTTTTATACTTTTGTATAAAGTAATTTGAATGAAATTTTCAATATATTCATTTTTCATGATCTTTCATTGAACTATTTAACAAAAACGACCAGGGCCCTGTTTCTCGAAATCTTAACTAAAGATAAAATCCAAATTTTAGAAGATACTTCAATTTTGATTGGCTAAGCACTAAAATCAATCTAATATTGTCCAATCAAAATAATAAAATTTGGATTTTATCTTAGTTAAAATTTCATGAAACAGTCCCCAGGTCTGTATCTAATGCATCGTTAACTTTTGAGATACAAATAATGGCTATTCCGTTTATAATTACCTGGGATGGATGGGAATGAGATTTGTTTATATATGATCTCATGGTTGATCTAGATTCTAGACGAATTCTAATCTGTTTGTAGAGGGGGGAACCATGGTGGCTAAGTAGGTAGGACACTGGCTCGCTAGCCTGGAGGTCTCGTGTTTGATCCCTGCATTGGTTGAGAAAGTTCATCAGGATTTTCAGACGTGGTTTCCCCTTGTCAGTGGTGCAGGACGAAGGGCCTGACAAGGACAGCTGTCTAGTCATTTGGATGGGGCGAAAAACCAAGGTCCCATGTATACATTTGCATGCATGCAAAAGATCCCTTGGCGGTTGGAATTCGATAGGCCATAGTGCCACTGCCTGGGCAAAATTTCCCTCATAGCACATGTGCCTGTCTTCATTAGCTCAGTCAGAGCAGAACAGTAGGACGTTAAACCCCATTTCATTTCTGTTGGTAGAGGGGACATCTTGAAAATTGCATACAATATGACATTCATTTACATAGCGAACAGCATATTAATCTTTGTAAATACTGAATGGAGGAGAATCATTTTTGAATTGATTGCCCTATTAGAGATACAACTTGACAATATTATAAGTTGTAAGGGTTTCCAATATTTCTCAAGTCACACTGAGAAACTTGAAACGGACATAATGATTTGATTTTTTTTTTTTTCAGGAATTGCACCTTTTTTTTTATACGCGTTTTGGGCGTATATTGTCGTCGCCCCTGTCCGTCCGTCCGTCTGTTCACAATTGTTGGTGAACAGTCTACAGGTCACAACTTTTATCCGATTTCAATGAAACTTGAAATATAGGTTTATCACCCTAAGATCTCGTTTCCTTCGATATTGGCATGTATCGGACTGTAACTTCATGGATTATGGCCCCTGATTGTACGAAAAATCACGTTTTTAGCTTGTGAACACTGTAGGTCACAATTTTTATCCGATTTGGTTTAAACTTGAAATGTATGCTTAAAACCCAGGATCTCGGTTCCTTTCGATATTCGCGCATATTGGAACGTAACTTCCTGAATTATGGCCCCTGATTGTACAAAAAATCACGTTTTTAGCTTGTGGACCTTATAGCGGTCATAATTTTTATCCGATTTAAAAAAACGTTTTATTATATCACCGTTACACCGCCCCTCGTTCTCAAATAGCGTAAAAAATATGGTATATCAAGGTTGTGGACCCTATAGAGGTCACAATTTTTATCCGATTTTGTTGAAACTTAAAATGTAAGTTTATAACCCAAAGATCTTGGTTCTTGTCGATATTTGCGCATATCGAATTGTAATTTTCTGAATTATGGCCCTTGATTGTAGGAAAAATCACTTTCTTTTTATCTTGTTCTCTATCCATCTCTCAAAAATGTGGGCGTATCCTGCCTGGCAGCCGCTGGTTTTACAGCATTCCATTTCATTATATTATAAACTCATATTTTACATATATCTAATTCAGAAAATAGAAGATTTTTATTATATCATGAAGTGTGTGTTTTTTTAGGGTAATTATTTATTATGGTTGAAACATTTCCATAAATTATTTTAATATATCCTGGCATATATCACGTGACTAACAATGTAACCCTGGTATCATTTATTTAATCTTGGTAATTTTTGGTGATTTTATACAATATTTTATGAATTTTCAAACTATAAGATTTGATATTAAACGAAAGTGAAAGAAACAAGATTAAATGATACCCGGGTTACCATGTAACTTGGCAGCAATTATAGAATCTGTTCACAATTTTTTTGGTAACACTAGGCTATACTATACACAACTTGGTGTGAAATATAGAAAATTTTAAAGATACATTATGTAAGATTTAGATAAAATGCTGGCCATTCTTGTTAGAATAGTTCCAAAATAGTGATTCAAAATTGATATATTGAGCGATTTTATTACTGTTTGAAGTTTTGAAATAGATTGTTTATTATCTGCCTCGCTTCTCCATTTTTAAATTAAATCATTAAATTGTGATTGCATTTCAGTCGATTTAAATCTCTGCCATCCGAGAGTTGATTATGGTCTGGAAAAGTTAATAAATGTCTAATTAATAATTTATATAACATCTAATGCCAAAAAGAAATACCTGCAATTGGCAGATTTAGCTCTTGCATAATGTATGTTTAAGTTTTATTGAATAAGACATGTGAATCTGTAGCCAATATTTACATTTTGTTATACTTAATCTAATACTTGAATACTTGAATTTAATAAAAGGTGATATTTTTAAATAGTTATTTCATTTTATAGAAGACTCCTAGACAATTAGAATAGTTGATGAAAGGGGAAGAGGGAATAGGTTTAAATTTAACCTCTGCTCAACTAGGTCATTTGAGAAAGAGTGGGGGGGGGAGGATTTGTGGGCCGTTCTTCAGAAGGAACCATATTACTTTTCTCACCTGATTCGGCCTTTTGTTTTTGAGATTGGGGTTTCAAGTCCACTCGACACAAACTAGGTCATTTAAGGACTAACATATGGTGTAATTTTATTTCAATAATTCCCTTGTGCGTAGGGGTCTTTAGCAGTGGGAGGAAACCGGAGAAAACCCTTTAGGTTGGACAGGCGACCCTACTCCTTGTCACGTACAACCGAGGAATCGAAACACGCCAGCTGACACAATAACAGACCTTATGATACAGCACGCACATCTTTTCACGGCAAGATAACAACATCAATGTTAATTTAAATTAACCAATAAGTTGTATTTGCAATGTCGATGATATTGAGCTAATTTAAAGGAAATGAAGTTTAACCTACTATTCTGCTCCGATTGAGCTAATGAAGACGGACATACACCAGGAGGGAAATATTGCCCGGACAGCGGCACTACGGCCTACTCATATTGAAATACAAATTAAGTCCTGAAAAAACCTAGGTTATGTCGAGTGGACATTAAACCTCAATTCTCTCTCTTAAATACACCTATATAAAATTCCAACTGCTAGGGGATCTTTTACGTGCATGCCAATGTGTACTCAGGACCGTGGTTTTCCATCCCATCCGAAGGGCTAGACAAGGGGAAACCAGGTCAGAAAGAGTGAATTTAAACTGCTTTCATTATATTTTATTGATTTTCATTATATACATACATTATAGTTGATCCAATTTAACCGAATATACAAACATACAGTATATCATATAACAGATCTAGATATTCATAATCATACATTGAGCTTTAATCCAAACAAATCTTACACCAAACACAAAACAGATTATATTAGGGCACATTCATTATTAAAATTAGGATAGTGACTGCTAAAAGACCAGGGCCGTTATTCACGAAAACTTAAACTAAGATACAATCGAAATTTTAAGAAATACTGCAATTCGATTGGCTGACCAGTAAAATCAATTTGCATATATCCAATGAAGTTGCAGTATTTCTTAAAATTTTGGTTGTAACTTAGTTTAAGTTTTCGTGAATAAGGGCCCTGGGTCTGGGGCTGATGCATTCTGCACACAGAGATCCATCTACATACTTCGAGAATATATCTGTCCTAAATGGCCGCCATATCCAAAAATAAGTATAGTGTTTTCTACTGCGCTTCTACTCCGTTTCACACCTGGCACACACACAAAGACTAAATAAACCTATTGAATTCCATTAAATGGAAGCAGAATAAATACTTCTAAAAATTCCCGAAGTTTACTTAATGATTTCGACTAAAATCGTCGATTTAGGACTTAAAATGTCGGTCAACTAGTTTAGTGTCTGTCCTCAAGCGGAGCTAACAGGCAGCCTAAGTTTAGTATGGGGCAGATGCAGAGGTTTGACAGACGGATATATGAGAAATGGTTACATACGATTTATGCCTGCAAACTCTCAGGGGAATCCAATGTCCTTTTTAATGCAGAAAATATTCTGTTAAAGGGAAACAGTCTCAAATTTGTCCTTTCAACTACCACACATCTCCCACACCTACTTTTCATCATTCATATTCCCTCTTTCTCTGTACAAACACCCACCACCTATATCATTTTACCCAAGGAAAAAATATGGAGCAGAAGTCCCTAATATTCCCTATTTTGCACATTACCCAAGGGTTGCTTTAATTTAACAAGATAATGTCAGTGGCTAGACCATAGGTCTATAAAATGAATTTAACAGCGCATTTCAGAATCCTTAATTTCACAACAAGTTATTTATTTTAATTAGGACTTTAGCTAATCAGCTAGGCTATAATGATCATATATATATCTATATTTATAAATCGCCATGGTTACACTGTTCTAATATCAAGAAATCCCAGGCTTTATAGGCGTGACTAGATATTATAACTAGATAGTTAAAGCATAGCACATACTGAAAGGTCTATATCTATATATGGAGATTATCAATTACTTGGCTGTTCTATTATCCTCCTACTATAAACATTAGGAAAGATAGCCATTCCATCATCCTCCCTCTTATTATACATAAATTTACATATACTTTCTATTAATATAAATTAAATATCTTTAAAATTCAAAGATAAAAAACTATTTAATATATAGATAACATAATTACTTTGTGGTGTTATAAATAATTTACCCAAACATCCAGAAAACATTTCTTGTGAAATACTAAAACAAATTAGGATATTTAGAAAAACAAAAACAAAACAACATCGTGTGGATTTCTGTCTATGTATGTATGTGCTGTAGTGAATAGGGCCGCATTTAAAATGGTGAAAGTAGATTCTCTAAACGAAAAATTAGTCCAAAAAGTGGTTTAATTCCTGTATGCAATGGCAGCTACATTAAAATTTGAAGAAATTGCTGGAAAGATATTTTTTTCAACTGTCGAAACTATCATGGAAATACATCTTTCATAACGGTTTCGCGTAGTCCACCAAATGCGGCCCTTAAAACAAAAAAATTAATACAAAATTCTATACAGGGATTATAATATGTTACGTAAATGTTGTAATATATACAATCATGTTTCACAGCCTTCGATGAGATAAAAAAAAAAACGCTTCTTAATGTTTCCAATAAAATACTACGATTTAACCACGACACAAAGAATCTGTACATTAAAACCAAAATCCTAGCCATCTATATTTATTTCTGTACTCCGTCAAAAAGTGTGCTTTGCTGCTCGAGGATTAGTCTATGAGAATATTCCTAACCCTAAACTGTCTTCAAGGTGGTGTATAATATGATGACAAACAAATTCTGGTATTTCTGGGTAATTTTTTTTTTGTCAAGACGAGACAAGACATAAGTATATTGCGACAAGATTTAAAGATTAACAAAATCTGTTATTTTAAAAAATCCACATCAAATAGCATAAGATAAAATGAACAAAATTAGGAATGGAGTTTAGAGTCAGGAACTTAACAAAATAGAGAATCTGATTAAATTACTGATCTATATTTCGTGGGTTTTTTTTATACTTTCGATGGCCTCTACTACATGAAGATCTGACCAATAACTCACTGTAACAGACTGTTTCATTGGCTAATCCCTCACATCATCCAGAACATGTCAATGATAACAACTCTTCCAGATCCTAGTGTAGTAAAGACAAGTAAAACGAAATTTTGAATTATAAAAATCGAAACGAAATTGGATCTGTGTTTTAATCAGATTGCAAAATATAGAATAGGAAATATTATAATACTTGTAAGTCTGGAAATAAAGAACAAGTAGTAACAGGCATTGTCAGGCAGAAATCCATGCACAATCCCACTTGCACCTGTCACCAACAATGTCTGACATAATTTCAGGCGTTGCCAGACACAATCCATAAGTGCCTGATTTTGTTCAGGACAGATTTATCTTTCATCTGTGTTTGTTTTATGTCCGACACAAAGTTAAAAAATGTCATATATCAGTCAGTTCAGTAGTTCTCGGACATTTCTGGACTTGGAATTAAATTGTTTTTTTGTTTTTGTATAAAGTTAATAATAACAACTATATATCTTATATACAGACAAGAATTACATATAAAACATATTTTGATCAACGACAGTGTAATTTATACAATCAAGGGCTCTTATTTACCAGTCGTACATGTTAAGTGGGATAGAGAGAAATGAGGTAACTGGATAGTTTTGGGACTCACATATGAGAGAGAAATGGGGTTTAACGTCCACTCGAAACAGGTTAGGTCATTTCGGGACTGGACTAACATATGGTTCAATTTCATTCAATAATTTGCTTGTGCGTAGGGGTCTTTAGCAATAGCAGGAAACCTCCCCCGAGGACCCGGAGAAAACCCATGTACAAGCGGAGGGATGCCACACCATGTCACGTACAACCAGGGAATCGAAGCACGCCAGTTGACTCAATGACAGACCTTATGATTGCAAAACGCATGCGCTAACCATTCGGCCATCCAACCCTGTGACTAACATGACTTGCATGCAGGGGTATTATTCAGTGGAAGGAAACTGATGTATTTTGTCTCTGACAGTTACATGAAGACTAATTTACCCAATGGACTACAAATTGACAGACAGGCAAATTTTAAACCAGACATTTTCAATAACATCTGCATATAAAAATACTGGCAAAAATGGCACAAAAAGAGGGGCGAAACAATTTACCCAATACTACCAAATACCACCCAATACTAACTAACTACCACCTAATAGTACCACATACTAGCTCAATATTGTGAAAAACTAACTTAATAGTATTGGGTGGTACTTGGTGGTATTGCTATTAGGTAGTATTCAGTGGTATTGGGTAGTATTTAGTTAGTTTTGGGTAGTATTTAATCAGTATTGGGTAAATCTTCCCACGGCAAAAAGAGCCCTGGATTCTATCACAGTTCTACATATATATCTAAAATATAGGAATATAACTATCTATTTTGGCTCGATGTCTCTGCGCTACACATTCTCCAATCCAAATGATATTACGACATTCCTGTTCCTTCAACTTTACGTAAGAATAAAATACTCCGAATTGAAACTGATGCATGAAGGAATGTTTCATTAATTTCACCTGAAATTACAATTTCAAATTAAAGATACATTCCAAGGGTACAAACTGGGTGATTTGATGATATTTTTGGACTAAAAATATATTCAAACTAATTAATTTATCATAATTTTGCTTCAAATCCTTCACAAAACATTGCAATTGTCAGGGAATACCGGCTATAAAAGATTGATCAAAAGAAGTCATGTTTGTGTCACGTGACACAACGGGTGCGATGTTGGAGGAGAATTCATTGCATACACAAGACGATGTTGCCTTTATCGCTGACTATTTATTACAAATATCGAAGCCTAATTAAATTCTTGGATTATCCACTGCCCGGGTCTTTTTCCGTGATTTTTATCTCAGAAAGTGTTGTACGTCTAACTCTTCATAATGTTTATCAACTTGTACATCAAGCGCTCAATATCCGCATGCAACCTTCGAAGTCACGCATGCAGAAACACTGAATCGTTGTTTAAGGTCCACTGAGAGAAACACAGAGAGAGAGAGAGAGAGAGAGAGAGAGAGAGGGAGGGTTTAACTAATAACAAGGTTGGACAGGAGGAAACCAGAGAACCCTGAGAAAACCCACAAGGTTTTGGTTTTTTTTAAACAATATTTTTATTCAAGTTGTTTGAATGGGATTGGGGAACAGGCATAGCCTCTCCCACAAGGTTGGACAGATGAGCCTAATCACTGTTACGTACAATGGGGAATCAAAACCACGCCAGTTGACTCAATGACAGATCTTATGATGCAGCGTGCACAGGCTAACCAATCTGCCATCCACCCCACCCCTACATAGATAAAGGAAACTGTGGAAAATCTGTCAAACCCGACTGAAACTTGTTAATGTTCTTTATTTCACCTTTTTATAATTATACTTTCATTTTACCTTTATCACTTTACTTTCACTTTGTTTATACCGGAAGTGGAACTCTTCACTGAAGGAGTCCGGGTTAGTGTGAAATAAATATGGTTGACAGAGTACATGTGTTTTATTGAATAAGAGCCAATTTTAGCTGATTAACAAAACTTAGCAAAATAGGAATTCATTTTATTCCAGATATTATGAAAACAAGAATGATTTAATCATTACCTCATGTTCAAAGAATTTATCTTCCAGTGTTTTATCCCCAGGATTTGTTCCAGCTCCTTCAAACAATTCTTTATACGACTAAAATAATAACAGAAAATAGCAAATATTAATTATTGAGTGTTTGGTGCCAGGAAGAGGGTCTAGTAATTAGTAGAGGACGGAAAACCGAGTTCATGTGTGCAATTTGGCATACACGTAAAGATCACTTAGTCACTCAAACTTCCACAAGTTGGATCACTTAATTATTCCCACCACTAATACTGTAATTTTGATAATGCAATCCCAACCACTCGGCCACCCAACCTCCGACAAGTTAGATCACTAAGCCACCCAACCCCTGATATGATAGATCACACAGCCACCCAACCTCTGACAAGTTAGATCACTCACTCCCCCCCCCCCACATGTTAGATCACACAGCCCCCCCCCTCCTCAAATGTTAGATCACTCAGTCACCCAACCCCCCAGATGTTAGATCACCAACCTCTGACAAGTTAGATCACTCACTCCCCCCCCCCCACATGTTAGATCACACAGCCACCCAACCACTGACATGTTAGATCACACAGCCACCCAACCCCAGACATGTTAGATCACACAGCCACCCAACCCCAGACATGTTAGATCACACAGCCACCCAATCGCGACATGTTAGATCACTCAGCCACCCAACCCCACTTGGACACCCAACCCACCAACGTGTTAGATAACACAGCCCCACACATGCCTGATCACTCAGACACCCAACCCAAGTTCACTTTAGATCACATGGACCACTCTCACCCCTCCGTTTGGAAACGCAAACCACTAAACATTAGTCTCCTCTCCCCTCCAACCAATGCAATGAAAACTTTACACTTAGCTACAGGTTTTATGACTAGATATTAAAATGGAGATATAAATTCTACTTACGGCGTAATATTCGGCAACTTGTCGAACTTGATCGTAATCTTCAGCTTGAGCTAATTTTGATAAACCATCAGGATAAAGATTACCACAACATGGATATAATTTCTCACGATCTTCTTTACTTAACTCCGTTCCAAAAGAGTTGATGGTGATTATAAAAGCTCTTCTGTCCGCTTCAAACTGAATTACGCAAACAAAAAAATAATCGAAATTAGAGGTCAGAATAATAAAACACATTTTTTGGCCAAGTCTTTATCATAAGGTCAGTCATTGAGTCAAGTGGCGTGGTTTTGATTCCCGGCTTGTATGTGACAAGGAGTAGGGTTGCCTTTCCAACCTTGTGGATTTTTTCATGTTTCCTGCCACTGCTAGAGACCCCTATGCACATGCGAATTATTGAAATAAAATATGAAACATATGTTAGTTCCAAAATGACCTAGTTAAATCCCATTTCTCTCTCGTTCTTATTACTTAGATTGTAACTACTGTTCCCCTTTGAGGAGTTTGAGGCTGTGTCGTACAGGAACTACAAAACTCAGTGTAAAAAACACTACTTTAACTATTAACCCTTAACTGCGTAGGACGTTATATAACGTCCTGGACAACTGCCACTCACCGTGTGTAGGACGTAATATAACGCCCTGGAGGTATTTTCCCCAACCTATCCTTCGAACACAATCTTACCATGTAGAAGACGTTATATTAAGCCTGGTCGAGGAAATCTAATTGAAGGGAGACAACTCTATTTACTGGTAGTTTTATTATGGTTTAAGACTTGTATTCAGGAAAAAATAGGCCCAAATTAATTATGCAATAGGGGGTAGTTAACGTCAAATTAATTACACAGTTAAGGGGTTAAACTCTGTGAAAGAATATAGTTCTAAATAAGCCAAACTTACAGCGAGGGCTTCACACATAACTTCAGCTGTGGCCCCTCCTAGGTTCTTACAGAAATTAAAAAAATCTTCCAGATATGCCTGCAATACAAATCAAAATATATATATTTATTGTCAACACATAAAGAATATTTATAGTACAGGTGATCTTTCTTATTTAAACTAAATAACAAACGATGACACAAAAGTTGGTGTCTATCATCCTATTGGTGACTAAATGGTTTGACATGTGCACGTTCTATTATATGGTATGTCATTGGAATCTCATGAAACAGGAACCTGATATGTAACTCTGCTACATACAGCAGTGTACCAAAATTCAATCAAACATCAAGACTATCTCAAAGTTTAATAAAAAAAATAAAAAAAAATTATTTATTAGTCGTCTAAGGGGAGATAATATTGCTTCAGGGACATGAAGATAGAGTTATCCCCTCCTTACTGTGTTTTTATTCCTGACTTACCTTGTACAATGTGTTTCTAATGATTTCTATATTCATTTCATCCAAATCTTGTTCAGATATACAATCAATGAAGTATGGAGCTGAAATAAAAACAATTAATTTAACACCCAGATAAAAACAAATGGTTGAATATTTTGGCCACCCAGTCCCACATTCTTTATCACTAAGCCACCCCAACCCCTCAACCCCCACCCAGATAAAAACAATTGGTTGAATATTTTAGCCACCCAACCCCTCACATGCTTGATCACTCAGCCACCCCAACCCCTCAACCCCCACCCAGATAAATACAATTGGTTGAATATTTTAGCCACCCAACCCCTCACATGCTTGATCACTCAGCCACCCAATTCCCGACCAAGATAAAAACAAATGGTTGAATATGTTTGTTTTAAAATTAGTTTCAGTGATGAGGTTATAAATTATAAATTAGGAGTGATGATTTTCCACGGAATCTGGCATTTGAAAAGGTATTTAGAATCTGAACCAGAAAACTTTTCAAAAAGTCCATTTTTCGAAAAAATCTATAAAAATGCATAAAATATACTTATTACCGATGTTTTATTTTAGGTCCGAATATATCGGGAGCCACTGAATGAAGGGAATTTTGCTCAAACAACAACTGAATTCCAACGATCAAGGGATCTTTAACATACACTTTGAGTTGTTCACAGGAATTTGGTGTTTTTCATGTTATCCAATCAAATAGACTCTTTTACATGCCATTATGAGGAAAACAAGTCTGAAAAACTGAGAGGCGTTCCTAAGAAAAGACCAGGGGAAACCCAAACTTCCTGGTTAGTAAGCTAGCACTGTAGCCATTGAGCCAACGCGGCTCCCAGACAAAACTGAATTTGCACTTAAAATCATCAAAATTTTTACAGAGATATGTTTCGGATAAAATCTGTATCCGAAAATGTTTGTGACAAGTGCCCTATTTCCCATCATCATCATCATCCCCAGTGGCATTGTTCCACTAACCCCTAGGCTTATTCAAACATCAAGGGGAGATAATCTGAATTCATGAAAACCCCACGAATAGACCAAGGGGTTAGTGGAGTACAACGGAGAGAGAGAAATGGGGTTTAATGTCCACTCGACACAAACTAGGTCATTTTGGGACTAACATATGGTTTAATTTTATTTACATCATTCCCTTGCGCGTAGGGGTCTTTAGCAGTGGGAGGAAACTGGAGTACTCGGAGAAAACCCACGAGGTTGGACAGGCAACCCTACTCCTTGTCACGTACAACCGGGGAATCGAAACCCCGCCAGTTGACTCAATGACAGACCGTATGATACAGCGCGCGCGTGCTAACCATTCGGCCATCCAACCCCCCATGCCACTGGGAATAGCGAGGATAATTTCCAGACTTGCCGATATTGATGACTATAACAACTTCTAATTTCCTTTACCTAATGGTGTGTCGACAAGTACAGCATTATACAGCTCGGCTGGCGTGGAAGCAATATGGATGGCTTCCATCTGTTCAAAACTTCCCAATGGATGACATTTTGAGATAAGCTCATTGATTGGACGCTGATGAAGTGTACCAGTGATTAGAAGAATGATATTATCAATCATATAACTATATCTGAAATATAAAATATAACATCATCAGTAACAAAATATACAATATAACATCATCAGTAACAAAATATAACATCATCAGTAACAAAATATAAACTCATCAGTAACAAAATATAACATAATCAGTACCAAAATATAACATAATCAGTACCAAAATATAAAATCATCACCACCAGTAACAAAATATAACATCATCAGTAATCAAATATGACACCATCAGTAACAAAATATAAACTCATCCGTAACAAAATATAAAATCTTCAGTAACAAAATATATAATCTTACGTAAACATGGCTAGAAAAGGTGTTTAACATCCTACTTTTCTTCAAATATAAAATCTGGTTGAACAAATTGGTGTGGCCGACATGTAAACTGATTGTCAAACAGGAAGTTGAATAAGTACCAGGAAACCTCATGACTAAACAAATTATTTATTTAATTTTTTGGATGTTTAAAGGTTCAACACGTATGTCTTGAGAAACATATCACTTATTTTTGTTGGAGTAGACATGTCTTATTGTTATGCTAGGATCCCACAATCACCATTCGCGCTACGATTGAAATCCTGGTCCGGATTTCACAAAGCATTCTCAGACTTAAATTAAGAATTTACTCAAAATTGTTCGCCTTATTTTAACTAAAATATAGCCCTTTATAAAACTTTTGTTGTTTTAATGTATCAAATACATTAATAAGAAACTATGTGCAAAGTTTTGTATTTCTGGATCAAACATATTTTTCATAAACAGTGATTGAAAGTTGAGTAAATTCTTAACTTAAGTCTGAGAATGCTTTGTGAACTCAGGGGCCAGGTTTTAATCATGGGTAATCGCAGTGATCCTATTGCAAGTCTTTCTTTAGGCCTTAAATGTTATATAAACTATTAATTAGACATCAAATTATCAGGACCATAATCAACTCTCGATGTCATAGTTAGCATGCGATATTTAGTGGATTTGGATACGTTTTGTGATGGGTGATTTAACATAAAAATGGATAATCGAGACTTTGTTTATTATCGTACCAACGGTAGTAATGACGATCGAGGTTAGCCTACTAGCCTAAAATTGAATCGCTAATATTTCCGTTCAGAGTGAAGCAATTTGACTGAAATTTTAAGCATATTCTGTTTTCATTATCTATTTTTTAACTATTATAGCAAGAATCTATCCTGTTTATAAAACTACGCCAATTGATGTCTGTGAAGAATAATGACGCATAATTTAATTAAATACCAAATAGAGAGAAATATGCTTTAATGCCCAATTATCAATCGACACAAACTCTGTGATTTTGGGACTAACATAAGGTTTTATTTCAATTCAATAATTCCCTTGTGCGTATTGGTCTTTACAAGTGGAGGAAAGCTGAGGACCCAGAGAGAGCCCTCGAGGTTGGGCAGGCGATCCTACTCCTTGTCAAGCAGGGAATCGAAAACCATGCCACTCAATAACAAACTTTATGATCTAAGGTGCACCCAATCCACCTCATTTAAATACAGAAGAATATCTTACGTTATGTAGTCGAGGAATGTTGCAAGTGGTTCAAGACAGTGGTTTCGAAGATGCTGGAATTCTACAACTAATTTTTCTCTCATCTTATCATCAATGACTGATACAGATAGAGGACTTGGTTCATTCGCCAAAAAACTTCCATAATCTGTACTCTGTAAATGAAGTTTCAAATCTGAAATATATTAAGAAAAACATTCAAAGCCGTGACAATGCACAAGTTGATAAACTTTAAATATAAATAAATGCTGCATTTAACATCCTTGCAAAGAAATGGGTTTAAAATTTTACTTTCCCACACTCACCCACCCACCATATGAGAATTCAGACAGAGAGAGAGAGAGTTTAACGTCCATTCCCCACAGATGTTGGTCCTTTCGAGACTAACATGGTTCAACTCCATGCATAGGGAGAAAACCCATTGGATTGGACAGGCAACCCAACTCCTTGTCACACACAAGCGGGGAATCGAAACCACACCACTTGACTCAATGACAGACCTTGTGATCTAATGTGCACGAGTCCAAAAGTTCATCGGACTGATCCCAAAAAGTCATCAGACTGAGCCCGAAAAGTCGTCAGACTGAGTCCGAAAAGTCGTCAGACTGAGTCTGAAAAGTCATCAGATCGTTTCTGAAAAGTCGTCAGACAAAGCCCAAACCGTTATTTGTGTGGAGTCATTAAAGGCCATGTACCATATAGAGAGGGCCCCGAGTAAGCAATAAAATGATTACGCTTTTGAAGTACCGTACAGTGTACATGTAACAAGTGGTGAGAATCAGTGTATGAATTGTGTATGAATTGTGGGCGAAATAAGGAGACGTCTCAGACATTTCTATGCCTGATATAATTGTTTATTAAATATAATCTTTAAGAAACTAATATACTGAGATAAAATCAGTAAAATGAATTCATTTTAACACTTATGCAGAATATCTTGGTTGTTAAGATATTGACCTCAATGGCTGAATAACCAATTGAAGCAATGGCTAGTCGTGTATTATACTGTATTGTAATGTTATGGTATAAAATCAATTTCTTGCATAATGACTGAATTTATCACTAATATGCTTATTGGAATTACGGAATATTCACAATAAATACTGTTTATATTCAAAAATTTATGTTTTAGAGAAAACATTACAATAAATAATAATAATAATAATAGAATCTTGACTTGACTTGAGTTGACATTTCTCTACAAATAATTTCTACTTCAACATGAACATATGGAATACACAAATTAAAATAAAAATAACATATTATTGTCCAAAAATAATACATAACTGTTATCTATGATTTTACAAAAGATCATCAAGATGAATTCAGAAACAAAATCTTAAAATTATTATCATAAATTGAATGAATATATGTAATAAGCAATGACTGAAACGTCATCCAAAATGATGAAAATCTTGGGTTTACCTTCCAGAGTTTCACACTGTACGAGGTTCAAGTAGTCAGTTTGCTTGAGAATTCCACACTTAAATCCACGGACCAACCCCTCCAAATATCCATGGTCAATGTTGAAACTCATTTCGGGCATCATTTTGCCAAAATTATTAGATGAATCAAGGTAACCTCTATGCTAATGACGGATCCGAAGTCGGCAAGTGATCGATCACATGATTACAAATCATAGGCCACCTAGCGGCAATATAAAGTCAACATTATGGAAGGGGGGATAATGCGGAGGCTACTGTAAACCTCTTAAAAGTTGGATCATCAGCATTAATGAAGAGTTGCGTACTGTCCACATATCACATTTACAGATAATTATCTACTCTATTCCCTAGAAAATCTATTTAACGCACCCAAAACAGTTGCAAAATCAGTTAGTGCGTTTGTATTCCATGCAATGAATCTAAGAACATAAAATGTGTAGAGCTACATTATCAAAATTACTATCTAGATTTCCATGAATTAATATAGTTCATTCCATATTTTATTACTTGATTCATATCATTATTATAGCATTACTATATCATATGTCCATGTAAATACCTATACTAAGTCTTCTCGTTATTTGTATTTAAAATATTTATACCCATGCATCATAATTGTTTTGAATGCTGTGCCATTATCAAACCTGTTTGAGGTAAATTTATACATACAGTTTGTCCTGTTAGTAAATGTGTAAGCTAGATTAAAATTTGTAAATATATATATTATTTGTCATCTATATATATATTTGTGACTGTCGTTGGTCTGTCTGTCTGTCTGTCTGTTCGGGGTTGGCGGCTACACTAGGTCTGCCCCGAGTCTGAAATTTGGGGTATAGGGGTAGCTCGGACCGGGGAGTAACATAGGCCAGGTGGCGTTAGTCTACCACTTCCGGTTTCGGAGTTATGACCCCTCGAGCGAAGCCAGTCTTTTCCGGGGTTGGCGGCTATACTAGGTCTGCCCCGTGTCTGAAATTTGGAGTATAGGGGTAGCTCGGACCGAGGAGTAACATAGGCCAGGTGGCGTTAGTCTACCACTTCTGGTTTCGGAGTTATGACCCCCCCCCCCCCGAGCGAAGTTTGTCTGTTCGGGGTTGGCGGCTACATCTGCCCCGAGTCTGAAATTTGGGGTGTAGGGGTAGCTCGGACCGGGGAGTAACATAGGCCAGGTGGCGTTAGTCTAGCACTTCCGGTTTCGGAGTTATGACAACCCGAGCGAAGCCGGTCTGTTCGGGGTTGGCGGCTATACTAGGTCTGACCCGAGTCCGAAATTTGGGGTATAGGGGTAGCACGGACCGGGGAGTAACATAGGCTAGGTGGCGTTAGTCTACCACTTCCTGTTTCGGAATTATGACCCCCGAGCGAAGTCTGTCTGTTCGGGGTTGGCGGCTACACCAGGTCTGTCCCGAGTCTGAAATTTGAGATATAGGGGTAGCTCGGACCGGGGAGTAACATAGGCCAGGTGGCGTTAGTCTACCACTTCCGGTTTCGGAGTTATGACCCCCGAGCGAAGCCGGTCTGTTCGGGGTTGGCGGCTACACTAGGTCTGACCCCCGAGCGAAGTCTGTCTGTTCGGGGTTGGCGGCTACACCAGGTCTGTCCCGAGTCTGAAATTTGAGATATAGGGGTAGCTCGGACCGGGGAGTAACATAGGCCAGGTGGCGTTAGTCTACCACTTCCAGTTTCGGAGTTATGATCCCCGAGCGAAGCCGGGTATCCTGCTAGTATTGTTATAAATTTTTGAGCATGTTTATATTCTATGCTGCCCTCAATGGATGTTTCGATACAATAAAAAAAAAATAAAAAATCTTAAGCAGCCGAAAATAAACATTCAAACAGCGTTTTAGAGAAATTTATCAGCAATCTGGCATGATTGTAGGAGAGTGTGCATAAAAATAATCGAGGGGTGGAGTGGGGGGGAATTTAATCTTTTAATTATATATGCTCTCTCCTAGGCTCTCTCCTGGGTCACTTTTGTATAGGCTCCAGTGTTTATAGGCTTCAGTGTCCATCGTTAGAATAAAAGCCTTGCTTATTGTTCGTAGTCCTTGGCAGGTGATAACTCAGTTTCACATGTGACAATTTAATTGGTTGCAAAGACATGAAATAATACAAATTTAAAAGCGTACCAGAGCGTCAGTTGAATCAGTAATGCATATATCATTCAGGGATATATACCCAAGGCCACGTGTTTAAAGTTATTATTGTCGATAGTATTGACTGGTGTATATCAATAATTACACAGTTCTCGCTTTCTGTTAATAGTTCTAGACTATAACGTTTATTATTGTCGATAGTTTTGACTGGTATATATCAATAATTGCACAGTTATCTTTTACTGGTGTTCTAGACGATCACGTATAGTATTGACTGGTGTATAATGTATATCAATATTTGCACGGTAGACATTCTGTGCAATATATGCATGCAATATTCAATACAGTATAACGTATATATCAGTCAGCCACGATGCTTCGTTAACCTGGGGGTCATTTGTTCGATCCCGCTGTTGACCTTTGTCAGTGGTGCAAGGGACAACGTATAATTATTCGGATGGTACGAAAAACCGAGGTCAAGAGTCCACATTGGCTTGCACGTAAAAGAACCGTTGGCAGTTGGAATTCGATATAAGCGTAGACTGTAGTACCGCTGTCCGGGCAACATTTCCTTCATAGCACACTGCATGGAAATGCATAGCTACGAGAACGTAACTAAAAACGCTGAGATATACTGATGTGCTTGTTTTTAGCTACGATTGGATGCCTTTAGTTCCAAATGGCAAACTCAATTTCTTTATTAATGCATGTACCATCTTAAAAATAAGTTAATTTTATACTATTAGTACTTATTACACATGAGCAGTCCAATCTACTGAAACAACATTCATTTATCTGCAAATATTGACAATAAAGTAAATCAAGCGTTGTTTTTATCAAAATTGATTCGGACGTTCATAATTACGGCGTATTACTATTGCGCAACTCTTAGTAATTTGATTGGCTATTGCACACGAGGCCCCGTCTTTATGTGTTACAGACGTAAATTTAAAATGTCGGAAAAAGCAATCTGCTGTCGCTTTGATTTAAAAAGAGGGGATTTGTACCTGTGTCAGGTAGGATTATATGCTTCATATAAATAAAATCTTGTACCGTTGAACAACCAAACACCAAATCCCAATATACCGCCGCACCCCAAGGAACAAAATAATACGTGAACATCTTCATGATAAGTTAACTATACTTGATGATATTTGCCCCCAAGGGGATTTACATTTACAGGAGTTAGATGCTATATTAAGATAATGAATGCAAACATAGGGTGCTCCCCTCACCCAGATTCGGTGGTCCCCTATGCCTATGATTGAATGAATGAATGAATGAAGTTTAGCGTCCTAGTGATCTGCACTAATGAAGACTGGCATACGCTATACAATGTGTTTTGGGGACAATTATGCCCGGACAGCTTGTGTTAATGGTTGTTTTACGTGCACGTCAACGTATACGCGGGACCTCAATAAATGCAGGTCAACATCACTTGATTTTTCCATGGGAGCGCCGTATATTATGGAATTTGAATAGCACGCTTTGCTTTGGATAAAAACTGATAACTGTTAATTTGTGTATATTTTCCTTCTTACTTTTTACAGTATGACGTTTTGGCTCAAAGAGTACAGCGCTGGCTCACTAACCAGCAAATTTTGGGACCGAACCCTTTGGTGACCGAGAAAGTTCCATTTCTGACATAAAACTACCAAATTAAAGAGCGTATATGGTCTATTTTTTAGAGCCTTGAAATAAACAAAAATGGTTCTTAAAGCACATATTAAAGTCATATGAATGTATGTAAAGTGATTTATATTCAAATTTTGAATTAATGATGTTCGGTGAAATATGTGAAAAGTTCAAATTAAACGACAGTCGATCGTTTACGCCTGCTTAGTGCAATCTACACGTTTTTAAATGCTTATTTTGTCGTTTGTGAATCAACCTTTACTAATTACTTCCACGTTGTAGGATATGTTTTTATTTGTTCATTACAAAATGGCACCCGAAACCATTGGTACAGGGCTCGTGTACTGATTATAGAATGTTAATTGTGTCTTAAATATTGGATAACAACATCAATATTGATTGAAATTGATCAATATTGAATTCTTATTCGTGTTTCTAATTTCGAATATAATGGAAAATATTGAGTTAGAGAATTAGCTTCTTTTTTATAGTAAGTGCAGGAGGACCACACTACACGCAAAACAAAAATCTACAAGATATACCTGCGGACAAGACAGATAATAGACATTGCAATAGCAAAAAGTAAACAAATATCAAATCAAGTGCGCTGTACAGTCCCGGGCCTGTTATGGTACAGGTTTCACTAAAAATGAAAAAAAAAATGATTTACAAAAAAGAGACGTAACAAGAATAATGCGAACAATCTTGACAGTGGTCGTCGACTCGCAGGGAATAAATCAAGAACATCATTTCACCGTTGTTTACCTACACGACGTACATGCACTTATCGATATCTTCTTTTATCTGCTTGGGTTTTTTTTTTTATCTATCTAAACATTCGTTAATCTAAAAAGGAAAAAAAAAAATTGTGAAGTTCTGTAACTTATAGATAAACGAATTATAGCACGGCATAGAAAAATTATCATTACTATCCATTTTAATTATAGCTTCCGTAAAACAATAGTATGCCTATATAGTGAGCCTAATTTATGTATGCCTACAATTTTAATTATATAATGCAATACCCTTCCATCGTGGAAATAAGCAGTGACATTTTTCGCGAGGCTATTTGAATCCTTGACCTTGTTTGTAGGAAGATTTTACGTATTTGGTTTTGCCGCTCCTATTTCGGCTCATGGTCATTCATTATCAACATTTAGAGTGTTTACTGTAATATTTTTGACGTTTCACGTTTAAACCAATGAATAAGACGGATCTAAAAGTCACGTGATTACGTGAAAAGTAGGTCACCAAAAACGTATAAATAGAGCCGATCAACCGAAGTTCTGTCTCTCAGAAATAAACGATACACGTGGTTGGACAGCACAACTGATCGTTACTACATACTCACAGAATGTCTTCTAAACCAGCATATAAAGTCGGTATGTCAGATTTTACTAGCTTGACAGTGAGAATAATATCTATGCTTAGCTCCTGAAATAAATACGCAAGGGAATGAATGCAGTATAAATTTGATAAAGATTGTCTCGATGATGCGTGTCAGACTAACAAAGCCGTTCTCTATCCTAACTTTTGAAAATTGTTCGATGAGTTTTGACATCGTCGATTTCAAATACGTCAATGGATATTTGAGATGTGTTCTTGCACTAGTCAACACAAGATTCGATGACAACTTATTTATTTTAACCAGTGATCCAATGAATTTTGAGTTTGAACTTTTAGAGCAATCAAACTGATTTCCCGATCACAAGCTACATGTATGTGCACAAACTTACTACAATTTTTAATTAAATGTCAAGATGACCTAAACCTTTGACAGACCCCTCCACCAACCCCTGATGTCTCTCCCCTTGTTGGTGTTATGTAGCATACCCTCTCACGACTTGTAACATGAGTTCAAAACAGTCCCGAGTATATGCAGACCACCTTGCCAGTTGTAAATGGGGGGATAGGATCTATGAATACAATTAAGATAAAAGTGAATGTGTATGAATTAAAATCACGTTAATTTATATTACTGTCCTTGTCTTCTGTCCAGAATGTTTAATGAGATTGCAATAGATGGTGGTAATTTACAAATTTCAGAACTAGTTTCTCATTTCAACTTTGGCTCACTGATAAAGCCACTGAAGCGTATATGGTTTTTAACAAAACTTTATATACACCACAAATAAGTATTAATAGAAATTCGGATGGGTTTGGGGAGATGATATATAGCACTCAATCGGATTAAAACACAGATCCTATTTCGTTTTGTTTTTATAGTTCAAAATTTCTTTTTATTTGTCTTTACTACACTAGGATCTGGAAGAGTTTTGATATAACCCATGTTCTGGATGATGTAAGGGATTAGCCAATGAAACATTCTTATCCGGCGAGTTTTGGCGAAAGGTGCACGGAACTGTGGGTAACCCACTAGAAACATAAATGCCGATTGGTTAATCAAATGTTTGACAACATAGGGTTAAAAGCCGCTCGTATGACCTCTGATGCATCCTTCCACTACAACTGGTCAGATCTTTATGTAGTAGAGGCCATCGAAAGTATAAAAAAACGAAACGAAATATAGATCTGTATTTTAAACAGATTGTGATTAACTAAGTTTTCAGTAAAGGCTTTGCACTACAAAAATCTGAGTTCCCGTATACACATTGGAGTGCATGTAAAAGATCCCTTGGCAGTTGGAAAGTCGTTATAAGAGTAGGCCGTAGCGCCACTGCCCGGGCAAAATTTCCCTCATAGCACACTGCATGGCGTATGCCCGTCTTCATTAGCTCAGTTTAGGAGCAGAACAGTAGGACGTTAAACCCCATTTCATTTCATTTCATTTTATTTATTGATATCCTGATAAAGAATCTTGTTTTAACTAAAGTTAGGCTGTTGAAACCAGTCTTACTATCAGTAGTAGTATTATACAATATGTATAATCAGTTCAGATGATAATAAGGGTTAATGTACTTTTCCCATTAAAAGATCTACCTATTGGACTTGTAGTTCTAGATCTCTGTCAAGGCCTTAAAACTTACCTTAAAATCTAATTACAATAATAACTTTTTTATTCCCCGGTTTTACGTGACAAGGAGTGGAGTCACCTGTTCAATCTCATGGGTTTTCTCTGGGTTCTCCATTTTCCTCCCACTGCTAAAGACCCCAATGAGCAAGCGAATTATTGAAATAAAATTGAACCATATGTTAGTCCCAAAATGACCTAGTTTGTGTCGTGAAAGTTAAACCCCATTTCTCTCGATGGGGATAAGGTGGGTTAATGCATGCGCGCCAAATCACATGGTCTGTCATTGATTCAAGTGGCGTGATTTGGGTTCCCCTAATGTTTTTTTTTCGGGTCCTTCGGTTTCCTCCCACTGTTAAAGATCTCTACACGCAAGACCAATTTATGAAACTAGTTTACATTGAGTGGAAGTTAAACTTTTAATTCCTATCATATCCTATATTTTAAAATTTGTAAAATTGACAAATAATTTGTTTTTTCAGCCGATATCACTTTGGCTGAATGGGGTCGTAAAGCCATTGAGATTGCTGAAAATGAAATGCCTGGTTTAATGAGCATGAGAAGGACATATGGACCTAATAAACCTCTTAAAGGAGCCAGAATTGCTGGATGTCTTCACATGACTGTTCAAACCGCAGTTTTGATTGAAACACTAACAGAATTAGGAGCAGAGGTAATTTGTCATTAAATTAAGAATAAATATAAAATCGACCCTTGCTGGTAATGTTGGTCATAATTACATTTAGAAGTCTGGTGAAAATAGACCCACTGAAGAGATGCATTTTTCATTTGGCTTCAAATGTTATATCAACTATTATTTAGACATCCATTCATATAACCCGCCTATAATTAACTCGCTTGACAATCTGATGGCTAAAATGGATAATTGAGATTTGGCCTCGATTGTCAAGTACACTACATCCAACACCCATAAGGTTGCTCAGAATAAAGTTATTTTAATCGAATTAATGACGGGAACAACCAGCTCTTTATCTAAATCTTATGATGCATCTTTTACTCCATAAAGATGGAAATGAAATGAAACGATTTTTAATATCCTTTTCTGCACCGACCGGGCTAATGACGAGGAAATAAAGATATTATGTTTTATATTTTAGGTTCAGTGGTCCAGTTGTAATATTTTTTCCACACAAGATAATGCTGCTTCTGCTATCGCGAAAACAGGTGTTCCTGTTTACGCCTGGAAGGGCGAGACAGATGAGGAGTACATCTGGTGCATCGAACAGGTATGTATTTAAATTATTGAAAAGTTTGTCTTTGTTTTCCAATAATTGCTACCAGAGTTATGGCCCTTATTTCTGTATAGAAGACAAAAAAGCCTAACGACTTTCAATGATTTACAATAAATTCCGCTAGCGCTATGGCCCTTGATCCCATTGACAATTTGAGAACGCTCTAGAGACGAGGAATCTCTAAATGTTTTCAATGAGAGAACTAGAAGCCGATCAAATTGTAATTATTTCTTATAATTACATAAAGGACCATTAGCATTGATCAGTTATTAGTCTTATAAATGCTTCCATTACCTGCAAAGAATTAATATGCAACACAAGGGGGACTTGGTTGATGAGTGTGTATGCCTTACAATCGAAAGTCGTCAACATTTACCTATCAGTCTGCCTTACAACCTATTCCCTGTCTTCATTAGCCCAGTTCGGAGCAGAATGGTAGAACGTTAAACACCATTTCATTTACAACCTATGTCTTTATGTGGACTGAAGTTAATATTAGTCTGGAATATTGCACTTTTTTTTAAATATCCTGTTTATAATTATCTTTCAGACAATCTATTTCCCTGATGGTCAACCATTAAACATGATTTTAGATGATGGAGGAGATTTGACCAATTTGGTTCATTCTAAATATGCCGATCTCTTGCCAGGTAATTATTGAATTCACTTATCAGCGGAAGTCAAATGTTTGAATGTAGACAGATTGTTATCGAACAAAATAGAATGCAATGGGAAAAATATAAAATGCAACAGAAAAAATAGAATGCACTAGGAAAGTAAAATTATTTTCACTTGCAGCAAAGAGTGTGTATGATTTCTAACTAAGATAAATCAACGTATGAAATGAAATCTAAATCAAAAGAGACGGAAATTTTTGTGAACTGATGCTTATGTATATGATCGTCTGCATATGCCATACAGTGTGCTATGGGGGGTAATTTTACCCAGACAGCAGCACTACAGCCTACTCTTATATCGAATTCCAAATGTCAAGGGATCTTTTACGTGCACGCCAATGTGTACACGGGACCTCAGTTTTTCATCCCATCCGAATGACTAGGCAGCTGTCTTTTGTCAGGCCCTCCGTCCTGCTCCACTGAACTTTCTCGGCCAATGCATATATCGAACACATGATCTCCAGGCTAGCGAGCCAGCATCTTACTCATTGAGCCACCGTGGTTTCTTAAAATCACAAATTAACTAATTAAAGTAAACTTTTATTTGTTAGTTTATTTTAGGTATTAAGGGTTGGTTTATCTGTTTTTAAGGGTCTATCTGTTTATTTTTAGGTATTAAGGGTTTATCTGTTGGTTTATTTTAGATATTAAGGGTCTATCTGTTTATTTTAGGTATTAAGGGTTTATCGGAAGAAACTACAACCGGTGTACATAATTTATATAAAATGATGAAAGATGGTAAACTAAAAGTACCAGCATTTAATGTCAACGATTCTGTTACAAAGGTAGGTTAAACAGTTCTTATTTCAACACCTGAATCGCCACACTTTACAGAGAAAATCTCTTAAAATTTCTTCTATTAGCGTTTCACATCCACTTCGATTGATGGTGGTCATAGACATACAGGCTGATTTTCCTTTGGGGGAGGGGAGGGGCATGATTTTAGCCCAAAAAATATGTCGACAGGCCCTGAAAAATGAACCAACATAATTTTACCAGATAGTGCCCAATCAACAATCGGTGAAATTCGCTAATAACTAAAATGTTGACATTGACTGTCTCGTAGTGTATTATTCATCACACCTAATTAATAATTATCGTATATACACCATTCTAGTGAAATTAAACGTGTAACACAATCAGTTTTATCTGAACTGAAAGTTCATAATCTACCTTTAGGTTAAAGTAATTTGTGCAATGTTTTTCAGAGTAAATTTGATAATTTGTACGGTTGTCGTGAATCTCTGGTTGATGGTATCAAGAGGGCTACTGATGTTATGTTAGCTGGTAAAGTTGCTGTCGTCGCTGGTTATGGAGATGTTGGTAAAGGTTGTGCTCAAGCCCTGAGAGCTTTTGGTGCTAGAGTTCTGATTACTGAAATAGATCCCATCAACGCATTACAGGCAGCTATGGAAGGTAAAAGATTGCGTGATTTTAAATTAACGAGTTCTTTCTCTTAAATATAAGGCGGTCACAGTGGTGAAGTGGGTAAGAGGTCGGGTGTTGGCATTGGCCAAGAAAGTTTATCCAGATTTTCCGACGTGGTGTGCACGTAAAATATCACTTGACATGCACGTAAAAGATCCCTCGACAGTTAGAATTCGATATAAGAGTAGGCCGTGGTGCCGCTGTCCTGGTAAAATTTCCCTCGTAGTACACTGTAAGGCGTATGCCTGTCTTCATAAGCCCAGTTCGGTGCAGAACAGTTGGACGTTAAACCCCATTTCATTTCTTAAATATAAATACCAGAATATTCCCCCTTGTATCTGTTGGGGTCATAAAGTGTGTGACTTGGATCTTATGTCTGCTCAATGGAGCTCCACAGTGGCTCAGTGAGTAAGACATTTTGACCAGTCACTTTATTACGGGTGACCATCGCAGAATCATCTTCAAATTTTTGTGGACGCAGACACGAGGTCATGAATCTGAGGTATTACTTGTTGCTTTAAGCCAGTGGTTCTCAACCTTTTTTGTCAACGGCACACCTTGGAACACATGAAAAAAAAGTGGCACACCTGGCAAACTTTTGCAAAATAAAAAACATGGTAAGTCAGACGGCATACAACCATAGACAGAGACTTGTCATAGACACATAGAATGACTCAAACTAAATAAAGAAAAACACAGCTTAGGCTGACCTTAAAAATATCTTTGTTTCACCAAACCCGACCCACAATCGAGGAGAAGAGTCGGTAGGTCGGGTTTTTTTTCAGCTTGATAATTTTCCGGGTGCAAACATTCGTCTTCTTTTATTGGCAAACAAATCAATGACATCAGGATTTTTCTTGATGCACGACTCGCACACAAATTGCGACAAACTCACGTTTGAAACTCCCTCAACACGTTTTTAACGATCGTGCGGGTTGTGCCTTTATTTTTCTCGAAAACGGATATTGAAGATATCGTCGTCATGTTTAAAACGACGCCCCACAGACATAGAGGCAGAATCATTTCGTGGGAATGGACGTGCTTTCGTCTGCAACCATTTTGTTGAGAAGCGACACCTATGACGCTTTCGTCTTGATCAACCAGTTTCAATAATGAATCAAACCATAGCCATAGTAAAGGGAAATAACTCTCGTGATATATTTCAGGTTGACACACAAAATAAAATGAAAAGATCGCGGAAAAGTGCAATAAAATAATTTAAGTCGGGGGTGGTTTTAGTTAGTCGGTCGCGTTAGGCGAAACAAAGATATTTTTAAGGTCAGCCTAATCAAACACCTTTAGGAAGATCTCGCAGCACACTGGTTGAGAATCACTGCTTTAAGCGAAAATGATATTGCCCATGTTGGATTTAAATGATTCATTTCAGATTTCTCATTCCTTTTCTATTCTCAAATGATTAATTCCAGAGTGACTAATATTAGTACTTGTCTCGATTTAACAGGTTATGAAGTCACCACTATAGACGAAGCCGTGAAAGAGGCTCGTATTTTCGTCACAGCAACTGGTTGTGCCAGTATTCTTTTACCTAAACATTTTGAACAGATGTTGGAGGATACAATCGTCTGCAATATCGGTCATTTTGATTGTGAGATCGATGTCAAATGGCTGAATGAAAATTGTACGAAAAAAGAACAAGTTAAGCCACAGGTAAGATCCAATCCTCCACCCGACCCCCATCCTTCCCCCAGCTAGACCGGTTCTCACTGCTCGGGGTTAACCCCCATGCATCTTCAAAAGAAGGCTTAAATCGGTACATTTCACGGAATAACCAGCATGTTTCAGCACTAATTTTGATTGGGTACTGACCCCGCTGGGGAACCTATCAGATTACGTCTATATGTTGTAAACTTGCAGTCATTGCTTCAGGAACATGACCCCTATGGTTTTTAGTTGCTGGGATGGGATAAACAAAGTTTCACCTTTTTGTATCTTTATCAAAAGGGAGGGTTTGGTGCCCGAATGGTTAACGTGTGTTGTATAACTATAATCATTTTCAGGCCTATAAACTAAAATGTTTTATAGTACTGACTTGAATGTAATAAATGGCACTTAATAAATTTTATATTTACAGGTTGACCGATATACATTAAAAAGTGGCCGACATATTATTTTGTTAGCTGAAGGTCGATTGGTTAATCTAGGTTGTGCTCACGGTCATCCAAGTTTCGTGATGAGCAACTCATTCTCTAATCAGGTTTTAGCTCAGATTGAATTATGGACAAAGGCCGGACAATACAAAGTTGGTGTTCATCTTCTACCTAAACTTGTGAGTATACCTTTAACTATCTTCAGGCTTCTGGTGGGCGGGGGTTGGATGGCCAAATGTATAATATGGTCTGTCATTGAGTTGGGTGGCGTGGTTTTAATTCCCAGGTTGTATGTGACAAGGAGTAGGGTTGCCTGTCCAACCTCATGGGTTTTCTCTGCGTCCTCAGTTTTTTTTTTCTCCCACTTCTAAAGAGCTCTATGTGCAAGCGAATTATTGAGAAAAAATTGGACCATATGTTAGTCCTGAAATGACCTAGTTTGTGCCGAGTGGACGTTAAATTTGTCTATGCAATGAGATCTTGAAGAAAATCTAACTTCATAGATTTTTCTCTCCCATGGGGGAGGGGGGGCATGTATACCATGGTGTACACGTTAAAGATTCCCTGGGGGTTGGAAATCGAAATAATCGTAGGCCATAGCACGTCTGTGAAGGCTAAATTTCCCTAATAGCACATTGCATGGTGTATGCCCATCTTCATTAGCCCATTTAGCCCATCAGTGCAGAAAAATAGGGCGTTGAACCCCCGTTTTCATTTAAAAGGAAGTAGGAGTTAATCACTATTTTTTTGCTCTTTGTAAAGTTTAAAGATGCTATCCCAGTATTTTTAGATAAATGTCAGAAATATTAATCCATCTTTTTTCTTTTTTAGCTTGATGAAGAAGTTGCTTTCCAACATTTGGAACATCTGGGTGTCAAACTAACAAAACTATCAGCAGAACAAGCATCATATCTTGGAATTCCACAAAACGGACCATACAAACCAGACTTCTACAGATATTAATCATCCAAAACCCACTCATTTCATTCTGAAACATTTTATAAAATCCATAAAAAAAAATTAAAAAAAATCGCCTTAAATCAGTTGTGTTGCGCCAACCATGGTCTTTTTGTAGAGAAATGAAAATGTCTGTATTCACTGGACAGACAAATCTTTCATACAGCCATTAGTAGCAACATTTTTTGTTTTGTATTCTTGAAGTTTAGAAATCGTTTTGGGACTCCACATGTAAAGAGCTTTGTCTGATGGTTCTGGCTAATGGTCTAAATCAACTGAAAAGTAACCTAACTTTTTCTCTTTCTCACATTTCTTCTGGCTCATATTAAAAATTCTCCATCTAAATTCCTCCTGGTCGACAATAACATACTTTATACTCAACTTCATATTTTCCTTTTCTCTAATCCAAGGGAGGCAATATTGGAGTTGCTTCCCTTGGATCAAGTTGTTAATGAATTGTTTTTGTTATACTGTATATTGGAGTGTAGATGTAAATCATTGTTTATTGTACACATGTAATAAATTTTTACAGATGTAGATATCTAAACTTTTTGTGAGAATTTCTTTAGTCCAGAAATTTTACAACTCCACATTGCAGTGAAAATTTGCCAACGCCAAAGGTGAAAAATAGACACAACTGGAGTTCTGGGCGAGTGTCCTACCCCAGACAATCGAGAAAAATGAAACACAGGATGCCATTCGGGGTCTGAACCCCCTAAATTGAGTCTGCAAAGAGAATTCCCCACAACCAGGACACGGGTCAGAACATTCTAGGTGTCCCCAGTCAGATTTTAAACCGTACACCACATATTTATATCCTCTGCTTGTACGTGACAAGGATTAGGATTGCCTGTCCAGCCCCTTGGGATTTCTCCAGTTTCCTCCCACTGCTAAAGATCCTTACCCTCGGGCAACTTATCAAAATGAAATTGAACCATTTGTAAGTCCCGAAATGACCTAGTTTGTGTCTGAGCAAAGGTTGAACCCACTCTCGCTCTCTCAACAGCTTTGAATTGTATTCTGTATATTAAACATACATTATGCAAGAACTAAATCTGCCTATTGCAGGTCTTTCTTTAGGCCTTATATGTTATCTAAATTTTTAATTAACTTATCCAGACAATAATCTACTCTCGATGACATCGCTAGCCTGCGATATTTTGTGGATTGAGTGTGGATGGATGGATGATATAGACTATCAGTTGAAGAAGGTATCCAGTGCCGATTTTAGGTGAAGAGACCCTAGGTTATTCCTTTTGTGGGGCCCCTCCCTCCCAATCCTCCGCCGTCAGAACCAGAAGATAAAAGTTTGAGCAAAACCAAGGATGTTTAAAGTAACTAAGTCTCTTAACTCAATATCATCAAAAATCTTCGACATTGAAAACACGAATTATTTGTCAATTGAAATCAACATTGGTTTTGTGATCTTACAGGGGAAAAGATGGGCTTCTGATATCCAATATTCAAGACAAAATAAACATTTTACCATTGGTACACGAATCGTGTACCATAATGCGTTTCAGCGACATTTGGAACAGGGGACTCAAAGAACAGGGCTAGACATATTCCACAAGTCATGTCAAATGGTGGCGCTATATTCTTATCTGGAGAGCATGCGCAATAAATACCATCGGTGTAGACTGGACAAACCAGACGCTAAAGATTGCCATTCACATGAGATTTCTGGCGTATTTCGCCGAACATAACTGATTAGAAATTACAGTGAAAACAGGAACGATTGAATTTAAATCAGTTTATATACATTCATATTACATTATTATATGCTTTGCGAAACATTTTTGTCAATTTCTAGATCCCAAATATTAGCGATTTAGCTGCTTTAAGACTAAAAGTGAGTGTAAGAAAGTCTTATGACCGGGTCAAAAATATCATAAACCTTGGACGCTTTTTCTGAGGTCTCCTAGATCTTGAAGCTTTAGGCTTCGGTCTGATAAACCTGTAGAAAAATATTATTCACCTTGCCGCCCTTGGTCACTTGTTCTGAGGTGTCCTAGATCTTGAATCTCCAGGCTGTTATACCTGTAGGTTAATCGAACGCTGGGTGTCATGGTATGGTCAACAGAGAGAGAGAGAGAGAAATGGGGTTTAACGTCCACTCGACACAAACTAGGTCATTTCGGGACTAACATATGGTTTTAATTTTATTTCAATAATTCCCTTGCGCGCAGTGGTCTTTAGCAGTGGGGGGAAACCGGAGGTCCACAGTTTTGTCTGTAACATTTGCAAAATAATACTACATTTTGATCCACCAGGGTAAAGTTTACCTAACAGATATGAATACGAGAGAGAGAGAGAAATGAGGTTTAAAGTCCACTCGACACAAACTAGGTGATTTCGAGACTAGCATGGTTCAATTTTATTTCAATAATTCGCTTTCGCGTAGGGATCTTTAGCAGTGGGAGGAAACCGGAGAAAACCCACGAGGTTGGACAGGCGACCCTACTCCTTGTCGCGTACAATCAGGGAATCGAAACCACGCCAGCTGACTCAATGACAGCCCTTATGATACAGCACGCACGTCATGCTAACCATTCGGCCAAGATATGGATACAAGTCATCCAACAAGAATTCATACTGGAGGTGGAGAGATTGTTAAACTGACGGTCCCGTGTTACGTAACGACCAGCTCTTACATAAGACTTCTTTAAAGGAGCTAAGTCGCTAATATTTGGGACCTAGAAATTGACACAAATGGGTCGCAACGCATACAATAATGTAATATGAATGTATATAAATTGATTTACATTCAATCGTTTCTGTTTTACTGTAATTTCTAATCAGTTAGGTTGGGCGAAATACGCTAGTATCCTTAATTGAATTTCAATCTCTAGCGTCTGGTTATTCCAGTCTACGCCGATAGTATTTATTGGGCATGCTCTCCTGATAAGAATATAGCGTCACCGTTTGACATGACTTGTGGAATATGCCTAGTCTCGATTTTCGAGTCCCTGATTACAAATAGCGCTGAAACGCATTGGTACACGATTCGAGTAACAATTGTAAAATGTTTATTTTGTCTTAAATATTGGATATCACAAGGCCATCTTTTCCCGGTAAGACCACAACATCAATGTTGATTTAAACCCACAAATAATTCATGTTTTCAATGTCGAAGATTTTGGATGATATTGAGTTAGAGACTTAGCTACCTTAAATGTGATTCCTAACCAATTTAATGCTCAGTATTTTATTTTAATAAGGAAATAAGGACTATATCGTCACGAACTCTGGGAATACTACTTTAACAAATTAAGACGCCTTGTGTGACTTTGCGAGGGTAACTGTCAATTGCAATTTTGTAAACAAACCACATTCGTTGGGTATAATAGCATATTCTTGTTATTGAGCATTGGCCACAATTTATGTGTAGGATAAAGCACGAGACTGAGGTTATGCTGGGGAAAGAAAAGCTGAAGAAAATAACCCGAGTAAAAGAAAAACAGAGGCCGGTTTCTTTCCCAGCATAACCGAAGTCGAGGACTTTATCTTGCTTATAAACCGTCTATGTTTACATGTACGTAAAATCCCAGAATTCCAGTAAGAAAAAATCTTATATCATGTTTTCTTATGAAAGAAAAAGAGAGAGAGAGAGAAAAAAAAATGGGGTTTAACGTCCCCTCGACACAAACTAGTTCATTTCGGGACTAACATATGGTTTAATTTTATTTACATAATTCGCTTGCGCGTAGTGGTCTTTAGCAGTGGGGGGAAACCGGAGGACCCGGAGAAAACCCGCGAGGTTGGACAGGTATGGTCCACAGTTTTGTCTGTAACATTTGCAAAATAATACTACATTTTGATCCACCAGGGTAAAGTTTACCTAACAGATATGGATACGAGAGAGAGAGAAATGAGGTTTAAAGTCCACTCGACACAAACTAGGTGATTTCGAGACTAGCATGGTTCAATTTTATTTCAATAATTCGCTTTCGCGTAGGGGTCTTTAGCAGTGGGAGGAAACCGGAGAAAACCCACGAGGTTGGACAGGCGACCCTACTCCTTGTCGCGTACAATCAGGGAATCGAAACCACGCCAGCTGACTCAATGACAGCCCTTATGATACAGCACGCACGTCATGCTAACCATTCGGTCAAGATATGGACACAAGTCATCCAACAAGAATTCATACTGGAGGTGGAGAGATTGTTAAACTGACGGTCCCGTGTTACGTAACGACCAGCTCTTACATAAGACTTCTTTAAAGGAGCTAAGTCGCTAATATTTGGGACCTAGAAATTGACACAAATGGGTCGCAACGCATACAATAATGTAATATGAATGTATATAAATTGATTTACATTCAATCGTTTCTGTTTTACTGTAATTTCTAATCAGTTAGGTTGGGCGAAATACGCTAGTATCCTTAATTGAATTTCAATCTCTATCGTCTGATTATTCCAGTCTACGCCGATAGTATTTATTGGGCATGCTCTCCTGATAAGAATATAGCGTCACCGTTTGACATGACTTGTGGAATATGCCTAGTCTCGATTTTCGAGTCCCTGATTACAAATAGCGCTGAAACGCATTGGTACACGATTCGAGTAACAATTGTAAAATGTTTATTTTGTCTTAAATATTGGATATCACAAGGCCACCTTTTCCCGGTAAGACCACAACATCAATGTTGATTTAAACCCACAAATAATTCATGTTTTCAATGTCGAAGATTTTGGATGATATTGAGTTAGAGACTTAGCTACCTTAAATGTGATTCCTAACCAATTTAATGCTCAGTATTTTATTTTAATAAGGAAATAAGGACTATATCGTCACGAACTCTGGGAATACTATACTTTAACAAATTAAGACGCCTTGTGTGACTTTGCGAGGGTAACTGTCAATTGCAATTTTGTAAACAAACCACATTCGTTGGGTATAATAGCATATTCTTGTTATTGAGCATTGGCCACAATTTATGTGTAGGATAAAGCACGAGACTGAGGTTATGCTTGGGAAAGAAAAGCTGAAGAAAATAACCCGAGTAAAAGAAAAACAGAGGCCGGTTTCTTTCCCAGCATAACCGAAGTCGAGGACTTTATCTTGCTTATAAACCGTCTATGTTTACATGTACGTAAAATCCCAGAATTCCAGTAAGAAAAAATCTTATATCATGTTTTCTTATGGAAGAAAGAGAGAGAGAGAGAGAGAGAGAGAGAGAGAAAAATGGGGTTTAACGTACCCTCGACACAAACTAGTTCATTTCGGGACTAACATATGGTTTAATTTTATTTACATAATTCGCTTGCGCGTAGGGGTCTTTAGCAGTGGGAGGAAACCGGAGGACCCGAAGAAAACCCACGAGGTTGGGCAGGCTCTTATGAAAGAAAAAACCTACCCTGGAAGAATAACCCGTTACAGGTTTAAAGAAAAACTTTCTAAAGAATAACCCCAAATTCCCCTGTATATATATATATATATATATATATATATATATATATATATATCTCCATAACCGCCCTCGACTTTTAGACCGCAAGTTATTCCGGATGTAGAATATACCCCTCAGATCGAAGAGATTTACCTTTATATATATAGGTCTTTAAGAGGAGAGATTGCTAATCTGGTGGCCCCGCGTTACGGGACGGGACAATTAACCGAGGTCCCCTGTATACGACTGGCAGTCCGTTAAAGGTCCCCTTGTAGTAGAAATGTAAGCAGCTTTGCGGTATTATTTTGCACGGCCTAAAATTTACTATTATTCTGCTCAGTAAAAGTTGCTTTCCTTGAAAGATAATTAAACTGCGGTTTTTACAGTGCATTGTACATTGGTTATGTACATTATTTATGCAAATGCAGTATTTTTAGTTTTTTAATTTATGTTTTCTCTTAGAAACAATAAAATAACTTTCCGTCATAAAGATATTAAACTTTAAACAAGAAAGTGAATTTATGACCTTTATTTGAAAAGAAATAAAATAAGGTTTAATGTCCTAATTTGTGCACACGTCATATAGTTTGCTATGAGGAAATTTTGCCCCGAGGGAACTTTGGTTTTTAGTCTCATCCGAAAGGCTAGACTGTTCTTTTCCAAAACGTTTATATATTATTTAGAGCTTTAGAGAGAAAGAGAGGGAGAGGTGGCATCGACACAATCTAGGTCATTTCGGGACTAACACATGGTCCAATTTTATTTCAATAATTCAATTGCGCGTAGGGGTCTTTAGCAGTGGGAGGAAACCGGAGGACCCGGAGAAAACCCACGAGGTTGGCCAGGCGACCCTACTCCTTGTCACGTACAATCGGGAAATCGAATTCACGCCAGTTGACTCAATGACAGGCCTTATGATACAGCGCACACGTGCTAACCATTCAGCCATCCATCCTCATCCCATCCCCCTTTAGAGCTTCAGGGTTGGGATGATCTTCCAAACAAACTAAAACCACTAGACAGTATTCTGAACTTTAAAAAAAAAGGATTTCTAAAAGATGTTTAAAGTTATTGATGTTAAAAGATGTTAAATGTTTATAGATGTTAAATGTTTATAGATGTTAAAAGATGTTAAATGTTGATGTTAAAAGATGTTAAATGTTTATTGATGTTAAAAGATGTGAAAAGTTATTTACTTATATGTTTAAAAGATGTGAAAAGTTATCTTTTTTTTTTAAAAGATGTTATTCGTTATTGTTTTAAACGTTAAGGGTTATTTATACTTAAAAGGTAAAAGTTGGGAGAGTTTTTTTTTTTAAAAAAGATTTTCAAAGTTCGGGTGGTTTTTCTTTTAAGTCACAAGTAGGAGATGATGAATGACTTCATACAATATTGTTTAATGTTAGAAATAATGTTTGTTCATGCTCATTTATCATTTATTTATTTTTATAACATTTTTTTTGTAAACCTGGGCCCTGTTTCTCGAAATTTTAACTAAAGTTAAAATCCAAATTTTAGTAGATACTTCAATTTTGATTGGCTAAGCGCTAAAATCAATCTAATTACTAAAATTTGGATTTTATCTTAGTTAAAATTTCGTGAAATAGGCCCCTGTCCTCTAACGAAATGATACCGTCTTCATCTAGCCCAGACGTTAAAACCCATTTCATTTCAATGACATGAACTGTTCTGCTATACTAGAGGACCCCATTGGGCCCTGTAGGTATGGGGAATGGTTAGTGCTAAATGATAAGGCCGGCTCAATTTTCGTTATAGGTCACGGTTCGGGGAGCCACGGTGGCTAAGTGAGTAAGATGTTGGCTCGCTAGCCTGGAGGTCGCAGTTCTATCCCAATATTAGCCGAGAAAGTTTATCAGATTTTTTCGGCGTAGTTTCCCCCTTGGTGCAGGACTGAGGGCCTGACAAGGACAGCTGTCTAGTCGTTCGGATGGGACGAAAACGCAAGGTCCCGTGTACACATTGGCGTGCACGTAAAATATCCCTTGGCAGTTCGAACCGGAGTAGGAAATGAAATGAAATGAAATTTTGCGTTCTACTGCTCTGCACCGACGTGGCTAATGAAGACGCCATACGCCATACAGTGGGCCATGAGGGAAATTTTGCCCGGACAGCGGCACTACGGCCTACTCTTATATCGAATTCCAACTGTCAAGGGTTCTTACGTGTACGCCAATGTGTAGGCCTACACGTGAACTCGATATTTCGTACGTTGTCCTTTGCCAGTGTATAGTATATGTTAAAGTTCTAGTGGACGTACATGTTATACCGTGGTGCCTGTCATGGCGTCGTTGTGTGAAATAGCTTTATTTAACGTCCGCTTCCACCGAAGTGATATCGCAGACGTCATTAGCAAGTGTGTCTATAAATAGTAATAGTTTTAACACCTGGAATCAAGTGCTAATTATTGGGCGTCATAAACCTTATACCGATGAAGCCAGCACTTCACACCTTCAGTAACCGAACCACAGTCACGCAGGACGGAAAACGGACAATGTTCTGATTATGGAGACGAGCGCGTGAAGAGGCTACCATATACCGAGGACAGCAATGACCAGTGATCATGAGCGCCGATCTACTCGTTTAATTGCTTAATTACACCCAGAGAATGGACGAAACGCCGTTATCTTTATCGCAAAAATTAGTCAACCGTATCTGATGGGCCATAATAAATAATGGCGGGAAATTGTCTTTAACAGCGTCGTACTTGACATTCGCTAAACAATAGAGTTCAAGATACACTCACGGTTCTCTGGTATTTGATGTCGATAGAGTAATAAATTTCACACTTGATCCAATCTAGTTGAGTGCAAATGTAATACATGTAAAAAACTACACCCCCCTCCCTCCAAAAAAAAAAAACAACCCAAAAAACAAATAAATAGAGGATATTTTGTCGTTTTAGAGTGAATAACATATTTTATTTCATCGAGAAGCAAGAAAACTTATATTTTCACGAATGCGTAGCATGAGTGAAAATATAAACGTTTTCTTGCTTAGAGATGAAATAAAATATGTTATTCGCGACAAAATGACAAATGTTCTATTTATTTTATGATTTTACAATCATTTTAGGTAAAAACAACTAGCCAGTGGAATAACACTTTTATTTCACTGATAAAACGCGGTATTCCACTACTGATCATAAAATAATGTCTGAGATATCACCCAGGTGGAAGCGGCCGGACGTTAAGATGAATATATGCTGCCCATCGTGGGTGCTAAATTGAAAATAATAAGCAATTTTTTTTTTTTAAAAATCCGAAAGAAACATTTAATACATTAATGGTATCTGGTTTTGATATCGCCTTATCAAAAAATCTTGTCTCTTTTTAAAACTAAAAGTGAAAAACAGTTCTTTTAAAAATTAAATCGGGTCACAACATTTGGCTCATTCAACTTTTATTGATCGCCGAGTGAAAAGGACACGCGAATACGTAATAACTCGTCGAGAGTCGGCACGTTTTTTCTTTCTTCAATCAATTCGCATAATTGCACAGTGCGCACCTGTCCGAACGAGCCAACAAGCAGGTGCTCTAGCTGCTTGTTTGTTAAGAATATCATTCAATCGACGTCAAGAAATAGATTCGGTAAACAATTTGTCAGTTTCTTGAGAGATTTGATTCGTTTTTACGCATGAGTGACAATTTTATTTTTTGATAAAAACTACCAAAAAGGAATAAAAGTTGTTGGGTTTTTTTTTATTAGCCTACCTTTGTCGACATTCTACAACTGAGAGTTTCGTTCCGGTCCAGTTACTCCGAGAATTATGGGAACGTGCCCTAACAGATGTTCCATCATGGCGGAATCTAGAGATAGCTATAACCAGGGAATTCCGTCAATTTAACCTTTAAAATTTGGTTTAAGACGTTTTAATTTTCAAGTTAGTTGTTGCCGAATCCAGCTGGAATCTCGGCGTCTCATCGGATTGTCTTTTGTTTGTGAAGCCACGGCTTTGGATGTTATTTTAGAAGGCTTTCGCCAGACGAAGCGAGGTAGATCGGGAACAATGGATGTTGTTAAAATCCCTCAACAGTGACTCAGTAATGGATTGAAGGGATTCCCCCGTGTTTTATGTTTCTTAATTGACGAATTTGGATTATATTTTGGTATGCCTGCATTCCTGAATATGTAACGGCCATGTAGGTGTATGAATTTTAGAATCTAGATTACCAGAGTGGTGTTAATTTAGCAATTAAAGTTTTAGAACTGTCGATCAAATCGAAACGATGCCGAGTCGAATTGTTTGTTTTGTGTGCGGTAATATCGGGGCCGACTTACATCTGAACATAAAGCAGAAAGACAAAGGTCCTTATTTTCCGTTTTTGGAACAACATGAGCCGCCCAAAGGATGCCGTTTACCAGGCGGGGACGGTGTTGTTGATAGCTGCACCGTTTGTTTTGCTTTTTTGCGTCAACAATGGGAAGCCTACGAAAGGAACAAAACTCCCGCCATCAAAAGATTATATTGGCTCAAAAGATCTGACAATGGTCACTTCACAGGAGCAGAGATGAAATTTCAAGGAGAATATATGGCTCAAGTTATGGGACTACAATATCAATCTAATGATGGGTATGAACCAGTCAGCCCTGACGAAGCAGGGTACTCGCGGGATTCTAGCTACTCAAGACCCCCACCCCAGACCCCAAGACCGAAGCTCCCCCCACCTGTCGCTAACAACACCGATGGGGCACTTGATTTATCTGTACCAACTAAACCCCCAGAGTCGTCACGACAACAAGGATTAAAAGCTCCGTCTGGAAGTAAAGAATGCTTCGTGTGCTTCACCTGTGCTTATGAAAAACCTTTGTCGCACTGTAAAATTGTATCGGCAATTAGACATGCGGCAAATGAACCCTTTTTTCCATTTCTGGAAACATTGGCTCCTCCAAGAGGTTCGACACCAATTAACACGCAAGGGGTAACCCGAGTGTGCAATGAGTGTTTTGAATTGCTTGTTAGTCAGTGGCTATCATACGAACGTGCTGGAACACCAACTAGTGCCCGATTGTTCAAGGTCAAGGACAATTATATTGGATTGTCAACGTCCCTCTCGGCTGAAGTACCAAAAAAAGAAAAGATTAGTGCATCAGAAATCTGCTATTTATGTGGACAACCATGGCCAAGTGCAAGTGTCAAACCCTTGTTTATATCTGGAGGTAAAAATCAAATGTTTTTTCCGTTTATCCGTGAATTAAGACGGCCACAGGGAGCCAGACCTCTGAATCCTGATGGGTCTGTTCTGTGTTGTAATAATTGTCATAGCAACCTGCAGACACAATGGCACCATTATGAACTTGAACGAGTCCAGCCTTTGGAGCGAAGATATTCCTTGTTACCCATTAACGGAAGGGACGCAATTCACGTGCCCCCAAATCGAGATAAACCTGTAATAGAGGATGGAGAGTCAAGCAATTCTAAAAGCTCTTTAAAAAGCTCCGATATCACACAGCCATTGAACATTCAAATCAGCAAAAGTCCGCAGCAGTCTCTGACAGGTGGAAACCATGGATTGTTGGCCATAGTACCGCAAGCTCCAACAACGATTATCGAAAACACCAATAGCAATTCTATGCCTTACTCCCCGTCGCCTAGTAAATTGGATCGCCAACGACAATCATTGACCGACAGTAAAGCCCAAACACCGAACATGATGACGATACCTCACCCGTTACAACAAGCCAGCTCTTTACCTAAAAAGGTGTGTTTCATTTGTGGAGAGAAGTCGCTTATTACAAAAGTACATATTCTATGTTCGTACCCAACTCGACATGAAGCTAAGGCCCACAACAGCATCGTTTTGCCCTTTTTCCCATTTTTAGCCAATCGTGACCCTGCTCATAATTCTGATCCCATGACCGATGACGGCACTGTCATTTCCTGTACTTACTGTTTTCATAGCCTGCTGATGCAATGGAAAGAATACGAAGAATCAAAAAACTCAGCTGATCAGAATAGATGGCTGCGAAAATATTCTGTGTCCGATTTCATTTGTTACGTCTGTGGGAAAACCGTAACAAGATATAAAATTAGACGTTTAGACGTTGAGAAGTTCCCGTTCTTGAAAGATCACAAGGTGCCACAATTTAGCCTGGTACTGGATAATAGAGAAGGTGTGGCGAGTTGTGATACCTGCACATACAGTTTGATGCATCAGAATGCAGAGTACGAGAGAATGGGAGTACCTGTAGAATTACGTAAATACAACTGGTCTACGAATATTGATGATATATCTAACGATGGCTGTAGTCAGGTAAATATTTTTGCAAAACATTAAAGGCGACCAGTTTTTATAGGGCCACATTTTAGTGTGGATATATATCGCCACCCTGTCTGTCAGTCCGTCATCAGTTGGTTTGTTATTGTACATGTACACATATATGACCCAGTTGGAATTCGATATAAGAGTAGGCTGTAGTGCCACTGTCCGGGCAAAATTTCCCTCATAGCACACTGTATGGCGTATTCCCGTCTTCATTAACCCGGTTCGGAGCAGAACAGTAGGACGTTAAACCCCATTTCATTTCATTTCATATATGACCACAATATGTATTTCCCTTGAACCCTCGTAATAGCACACTTTATAGCGTACTACATGTACATTGTACATGTCCTTCGTCATATTCCTGGTTGTTGCAGAAATGTACATAGGATGTTAAACTCCATTGTATTGCCTTCATTACACATATACTTACATGTAGGCTATATTCGGCGTATGATTGTTCACTCTACGCTATTAATATTATAATTAGACCCCTACGGGCAAGAGAATTATTGAAATAAAATTAAACCATACATTAGTCCCGAAGTGACCTAGTCTGTGTCGAGTGGATATTAAACCCCATTTCTCTCTCTCTCTGGACAGAAGCTCTTCGACAATTATTGAAATAAAATTAAACCATATGTTAGTCCCGAAGTGACCTAGTCTGTGTCGAGTGGATGTTAACCCCATTTCTCTCTCTCTCTCCCTGGACAGAAGCTCTTCAACAATTATTGAAATAAAATTAAACCATACGTTAGTCCCAAAATGACCTAGTCTGTGTCGAGTGGACGTTAACCCCATTTCTCTCTCTCTCTCCCTGGACAGAAGCTCTTCGACAATTATTGAAATAAAATTAAACCATACGTTAGTCCCAAAATGACCTAGTCTGTGTTGAGTGGACGTTAACCCCATTTCTCTCTCTCTCTCTCTGGACAGAAGCTCTTCGACCTGCTATTATTTGGAATTTGTCAGTTGATCTTTAATATGTAGGGTTGTGTATTTCGGCCAAAAATCGTATTGCAAAATAGTGCGATGCATGTACATGTACTAATAATATGACTGATTATGAAGTCTTTATAAACTGTCTAACTAACATTTGAATATAGAATAAAAAGTACATGTAGAAAAATATCGATACAGAAAAAATGTATCGATATAGTGTATCACGGTTGATCGTATTGCAATATATCGATATACAACAGTACAGTGTAGCAATATTTTTTGACAGCGCTAGCAGCATTTCTACATTTTTCACACAATTTTGTTTTCCTGTGTACCGGTACCCTTGAACTTTAATGTTGATTTATAATTTTATTTGTTTGACGCAAACAAAGTAAAAAAAAAAATAAAAAAAATTTCTGATTATTAAAAGATTCAGTTTTATTTCTTTTAAAGCCGACATGTAAATGTTTATTGGTTTTCTACATGTACGTAACATTTAGATGTTGTGGGTTTGAAAATCTGGCATGAGATTATTCCAGCCCAGTTGCCACTTGTTTGGGCGAGGCTGATGAGTGCTTGCGAGGTTTGCGTGGAAAATTTGTTTTGTTGTTTTGATCAAAAGGACAATCTGTGGTTCCATGTACAAAATTGGTATTATAAAACTTAAAGAATCCTTGAAAGTTAGAATTCAAACAAGAGTAGGCCGTTAAACATACGTTATGCAAGAGCTAAATCTGCCTTTTTCAGGTCTTTCTTGAGGCCTGAAATGTTATCTAAATTATTAACTTACCAAGACCATTATCAACTCTCGATACCATTGAATAGCCTAGATTTTCAATAGATTTATTTTCTTGTTGAATGTCGTGACGCCTCTTTAAGGAGTGATATGACAACCATGAATATTTTATCCGAATACACGTAAATGTAGTGTCAGTCATTTATTTTACAAAGTTTTTAAACAAATTATTTATGAGTTTATGAAATGAATAACGACCAAATTTTTTAAAATTTTGATATTTTTTTTGTACACATGAAGGTACATATTTAAGTGTTTATCAAGCACTCGAATCTTGAATTTTTTTCACAATCTGATTAAAATACAGATCTGTATTTCGTTTCGTTTTTTTATACATTCGATAGCCTACACTACATGAAGATCTGACCGGTTGTAACGGGAGGCCGCATCAGAGGTCATACGAGAGGCTTTTGAGCCTAAATAATGACATTAGACATTTAATTAACCAATCAGCGTTGATGTTGCTAGTGGGTTACCCACAGTTCCATGCAACCCACGCCAAAAACAGACCGTGTCATTGGCTAATCACTCACATAAATAGGAACGCGGGTTACATAACAGCTATTCCAGATCCTACATGTAGTGTAGTAAAGACAAGTAAAAAAAAATTTTAAGAAATACTGCAATTCGATTGTATGATGGCTGAAAGCGTCCATTTAGATCGGCGGGTTTCTAGATATAAACTAACTATAAACTTCCGAGGCGAGAGTCGCCGTTAAGCAAGTTGCCGAAAAAGGCGCCGATTTTTTCGGCGACTTTTTCGGCGCGTGGCTTAACGGCGACTCTCGTGTTGTGAAAGTCGCGGGTTGCCGATAAGGTAGTACGACGAAAAAGTCACCGATCGGCGCCTTTTTCGTTGTGCTGGCTTAACGGCGACTCTCTCGTTGTATCTAGAAACACGCCGATCTAGATGGACGCTTTCAGCTACCATACGATTGGCTGACCAATATGCAAATTGGATATACAAATTGATTTTACTGCTCAGCCAATCGAATTGCAGTATTTCTTAAAATTTCGATTGTATCTTAGTTTAAGTTTTCGTGAATAAGGGCCCTGACCATCTAGACCAGTGGTTCTCAACTGTTTTTTTGCCAACGGCACACCTTGGAACACATGACAAAATAGCGGCGCACCTGGCTAAATATATATGAAAAATATTTAAATTTTACAAAATAAAAACATGGCAAGTCATAGACGACATACAACCGTAGACACAGACTAGTCATAGACACATAGAATGACGCAAACTTAAACACAGCTATTAAGTTATTTTTAGTGAGAAATTTTCTTAGTGTGCCGTTCAAAATTTCGTGGCACACTTAGGAAGATCTCGCGGCACACTGGTTGAGAATCACTAATCTAGACTCTAAATCTTGTTCTCAAATTACCTGTGGCTTGTGATATATTTAAAAACATTGAATGAAATTGTCATAATAGACAGGTAAAGATACAACCGCAATAAGGGAAAACCCACTAGGCAAGAAAGATGTACATGTAGACCACTGTAAATAAAAAAAAGTTATGTTAATTGTTAGCCAGTGGGAAACTCAGACGTCTGCTTCTTGTAACCTAGCGTAGGCCTACATGTCTGCATAGGCCTACACAGTATGCATAGGTCTACATAGGCCTACACAATATGCATAGGTCTACATAGGCCTACACAGTATGCATAGGTCTACATAGGCCTACACAGTATGCATAGGCCTACACAGATCTACATACAATGTACATGTACAGCTGATTTGCATTTTCATAAACCGGTAGAATTACACAAACTTCCTACTACCAGATGGTTTTAACAGAAAACAGTTATTTCCTATCCCACTCAGGCCATCTTACTATAATAAATCATGTATGTATACATACTTGTATATGTATGTACTGTACCGTAAATGTATGCAATTATGTCAACTGTGATAGGATTTCTGTGTCCTGTCAGGGTCAAGGATTTTGTATTTTATTTCTGTCTTGTTGAAAATATGTAATGCAGTAGTATTTACATAATTTTTTTACATGTACATGTAAATTTGTCTTTCTCATATGTATGACATTCACACTATTTACATGTAGCTTAATGAGAAGTTGTATCGGGTGTTCCAACAGTTGTTCTAGGAGTGAACATTCATATACTATATCTTACATCAGTGGTTCTTAACCTTTTTTGCCAACGGCACACCTTTAAACACATGAAAACATTGCGGCACACCTGGCTAAATATATATGAAAAATATTTGAATTTTGAAAAATAAAAACATGGCAAGTCATAGACGGCATACAACCGTAGACACAGACTAGTCATAGACACATAGAATGACTCAAACTAAATAAAGAAAAACACACCATTGAACTAACTAGTAGACACCAGATGGTTTATTGCATTTTCTTAGTGTGCCGTTCAAAATTTCGCGGCACACTTAGGAAGATGTGTGCCGTGGCACACTGGTTGAGAATCACTGCCTTACATGTATGACACAACCCTCTGCTAAATGAGAAGGGAGCCACAGTGGCTAAGTGAGTAAGATACTAGCTTGCTAGTCTAGAGGTCCCGGCGTTGGCCGAGACAGTTCATCAGGATTTTCCGACGTGGTTTCCCCTTGTCAGGGATGCAGGGTGGAGAGCCTGACAAGGAGAGCCGTCTAGTCGTTCGGATGGGACAAAAAAAACCCCAAGGTCCTGTGTACGTATTGTAAAAAATACTTTGGCAATTGGAATTCGATATATATAAGAGAAGGCTGTATTTCTGCTGTCTGGGCAAAATTTTTCTCATGGCACACTGTTTGGCGTATGCCTGTCTTCATTAGCCCAGTTGGACCAGAACGGTAGGACGTAAACCCCATTTCATTATGTATCATTTCACTAGGTCAGTAAGCATATCCTGCATTAGACACAGCACCTGTCATTCCTTGGGTAATACATTTACATGTACTGTTTTCAAACAAATAATATGCACTCAACACAAACTGGGTTATTTTTGGACTAACATGTATGGCACAGTTTTTATTTCAATAATTTGCTTGTGTGTAGGGATCTTTAGTAGTGGGAGGAAACCGGAGGATGGAGGTAAAACTCACAAGGTTAGACAGGTGACCCCTCCTCCCTGGCACGCTCAAAATTACGTGTATTTAACTTAGACAAAGTACATTTTCCTAATCCACGCTAAGATTGAGACCATATTGACATGTAAGCAATTCACCGCAATTCACGGTAATCCAACACACGATTTGATACACTAGCAATTCACTAGATATCCATTCGGATTAAAGGTCGAATCGCCATGTTTTTTTGCCATGCTCGTTGATATAAGATCCAAACTTAATGTAATGAATTGGGGTTTAACGTCCTACCGTTCTGCTCCGACTGGGCTAATGAAGACGGGCATACACCATACAGTGTGCTATGAGGGAAATGTTTACCTGGACAGCAGCACTATGGCCTACCTACTCTTACATGTATATCAAATTCCAACTGCCATTGGATCTTTTACGTGCACACCAATGTATACTGTATGCACAGGTCCTCGATTCTTCGTACCATCTGAATGACTAGACAGCTGTCCTTGTCAGGCCCTCTATCCTGCACCACTGACAAGGGGAAACCACACCGGAAAATCCTGATGAACTTTCTTGGCCACTGCAGGGATCGAACCCAAACTTTAGGAGTGTTCTGTATTCCTTGGCCCTTACAGAGATGAAAACTTGATGTGACTTGAGATTAAGTTGACTGGTGTCGCTCTCGCATACATGTACATGGTGTAGGTCATACTTTTTAACTCATATGACCAACTTGAAGCGAGAGCCTCAACCAGAATGTGAACACTGTCATGTTCCTTTGACAGTGAAGCACATTTTGATTAAGTGCCATAATCTCAAGCGTACAAGATCACATGTCATGTATTATCGTTGTCAGTCACTACGTCAGCTATTTGCTCAACCGGAGCTACATGTAACTTTTTCAAAAGAGACAAAGTTTTATTATAAATTTTAATTGTATACATGTATATTTACATGTATATTTAGCACATGTTATGTTTTTAAATACTTACATGTACATGTATATACGTATGTGAAAGATGTTAATATTTGTTTTTAATTTTATTTTCTGTGATATTTGTTTTGATGTACAAATATGTCATATTGTTTTAATTTGTCTCGTTAAATTCACCAATCACCATACATGTATGTTTGGCGCAATATAGCCTGGTTGGCGCTGACGTGCCATAAAACCCCATTCTATTCATTTGTTCATTTGATGTGACTCTGTGATAGACCTTATGAACTATAACGTGTACTGAAGTATTTGCATGAAGGAAGCCTCGACAGTTGGTACATGTATTTATGGCTTCATTAGTCATATGCTTACGGAAAAGTAGATCTTTGAAACCGATTTATTTCACTGCTGTTCCAGAAGTAAACAAAACGTAAACAATGACGGAGACCACTGAAACGTTAAAAAAAATTTGATTGTGTTCTTTCATTCTAAAACATCTTTGTTAAAGACATCTGCACTCAAGCGAATTATATAAATAAAATTTTGCCGTACATGTACATCAGTCCTTCACGTTTAAAAGGCGCTTTTGCTCCTGCTCCTCTCGACGCACATCTGCTTTCCTTCGAAGAAGTCATTAAAGCATTAAAGCTAAATCGCTCTCCTAAATATTGAGATTAATAAACTACTTTCAGTTTTTGTTTACTTTTAAACTGCATATATATTCAAGGTATCAGACGCTTTTTATGGCTCCCGCACAATTTTATAAACATGAAGGATTGGTACATGTATATTAGTATTTAGTCCCAAAATTAGCTACTTTGTATCCAGTGGACGTTAATCCCCACTTCTCTCTTTCTAAAAAATCATTCGTTGTTACAGATGAAAGGGGGTGGGCGAATGGTTTACTTGGGCATGTTGCGTCATAAAGTCTGTCATTGAGTCAAGTTCATGTACATACATGTAGTGTGGTTTAGATTCCCCGGTCGTATGTGACAAGGAGTATGGTCGCCTGTCCAACCTCGGGGATTTTCTCTGGGTCCTCCGGTTTCCTGCCACTGATAAAGACCCTACGCGCGAGCAAATTGTTGAAATAAAATATTAGTCCTGAAATGACCTGGTTTGTGTCAAGTGGATGTTAAATCCCACTTCTCTTTCCTTGTTACAGATGAGAGGAATTGAACCAATGGAGGAAGATGACATCATCAACAGCCAATCACAGCTTTCAACGCAACAGATTGACAGAGAAGGTAAGATTTTTATCATATTTTCTTTCTTTCCCCCCGTATTGAATTCTAATTCGTGTTTTTAATGTCGAATGTTACATGTATGTATTATATTTAGTTAAATCTGTTGTCCATGGGAGCTTTTCCGTGTACATTTTCTCTGCTTACATGGAAACAGTCCTGTTACATTTGCAGTACACCAACTTTTTGGTCGCTGAAAATGCGCGAAAACGTCACCCCCCCCTCATATTCATATACCCTTCAACACATCATATTCATATACCCTTAAACACATCATATTCATATACCCTTAAACACATCATATTCATATACCCTTAAACACATTATATTCATATACCCTTAAACACATCATATTCATATACCCTTCAACACATCATATTCATATACCCTTCAACACATCATATTCATATACCCTTCAACACATCATATTCATATACCCTTCAACACATCATATTCATATACCCTTCAACACATCATATTCATATACCCTTCAACTCATCATACCCTTAAACACATCATATTCATATACCCTTCAACACATCATATTCATATACCCTTCAACACATCATATTCATATACCCTTCAACACATCATATTCATATACCCTTCAACACATCATATTCATATACCCTTCAACACATCATATTCATATACCCTTCAACACATCATATTCATATACCCTTCAACACATCATATTCATATACCCTTCAACACATCATATTCATATACCCTTAAACACATCATATTCATGTACCCTTCAACACATCATATTCATATACCCTTCAACACATTATATTCATATACATGTACCCTTCAACACATCATATTCATATACCCTTAAACACATCATATTCATGTACCCTTCAACACATCATATTCATATACCCTTCAACACATCATATTCATATACCCTTCAACACATCATATTCATATACCCTTCAACACATCATATTCATATACCCTTCAACTCATCATACCCTTAAACACATCATATTCATATACCCTTCAACACATCATATTCATATACCCTTCAACACATCATCCTTCAACACATCATATTCATATACCCTTCAACACATCATATTCATATACCCTTCAACACATCATATTCATATACCCTTCAACACATCATATTCATATACCCTTAAACACATCATATTCATATACATGTACCCTTCAACACATCATATTCATATACCCTTCAACACACCATATTCATATACCCTTCAACACACCATATTCATATACCCTTAAACACATCATATTCATATACCCTTCAACACATCATATTCATATACCCTTCAACACATCATATTCATATACCCTTCAACACATCATATTCATAAACACATCATATTCATATACCCTTAAACACATCATATTCATATACACATGTACCCTTAAACACATCATATTCATATACCCTTAAACACATCATATTCATATACCCTTAAACACATCATATTCATATACCCTTAAACACATCATATTGATGTACCCTTAAAAACACATTATATTCCTATACCTTTACAAGCAAAATAAAGGCCTTTCATCACTCTTTAATATTAATTTACACTTTAGTACTTGCAGGCCTGGAAATAACGGTTTTAAATGTACCTGGCAAAATGTCAGGCACTAACAGGGATGTGGGTAATTTTTCACAGATGATTAGCAGCATTGCTAATCAAAAAGTCTAATTTTGCCAAATTTGATTAGCAAATTTAAAAATTGATTAGCAAATTTAAAAATTGATTAGCAAATTTAATAATTGATTAGCAAATTTAAAAAATTGATTAGCAGTTTTTCAATTTCAACATAAAACAATTAGAAATGAGTAAATGGCTAAATAACAAGATTATTTTAGTTTTAATTTATAAAAAAAATAATTAGATTTTATTCTTAAGATTTTTATATGCCCACATTTTTATGTGGACGTATATATTCGTCGCCCCTGTCCGTCCGTCCGTCCACAATTGTTTGTGAACAGTCTACAGGTCACAATTTTTATCCGATTTCAATGAAACTTGAAATATAGGTTTATCTCACTTTCGATATTGGCATGTATCGGACTGTAACTTCATGGATTATGGCCCCTGATTGTACGAAAAATCACATTTTTAGCTTGTGAAAACTGTAGAGGTCACAATTTTTATCCGATTTATTTTAAACTTGAAATGTATGATTATAACCCAAAGATCTTGGTTCTTTTCGATATTCTCGCATAACTGAACGTAACTTCCTGAATTATGGCCCCTGATTGTACGAAAAATCGCGTTTTTAGCTTGTGGACCCTATATAGGTCATAATTTTTATCCGATTTTAAAAAACGTATTATTATATCACCATTAAACCCAAAGGACGGCTGAGTTCGAATTTCGTGAAAATCGGCCCAAAACTGACAGACAAAATGGCCGCCGTTCGTTCTCAAATAGCGTAAAAATATTGTATTTCAAGGTTGTGGGCCCTATAGAGGTCACAATTTTTATCCGATTTTGTTGAAACTTAAAATGTAAGTTTATATCCCAAAGGTCTGGGTTCCTTTCGATATTCGCGCATATCGGTCCATAACTTTGTGAATTATGGCCCCTGATTGTACAAAAAATCACTTTCTTTTTAGCTTGTTCTCTATCCATCTCTCGAAAATGTGGGCGTAAACTGCCTGGCAGCCGCTGGTTTAGAATTTTAGCACTGCTCCAGGTAGCTGTGAATATTTCTGAATGTAGACTTTTGGTTAGGCCTTATGCCTGAAGCCAATTCTTGGCAGTCGCTTCCGAAGTCCCACTCATTTTAATCCTTATTGCTTTTTATCGTGTGTTACTATTTTTGTTCAATCGGACGCACACAGTATTTTACGAATAATCTCGATTAACTAGACACACGCGATATAAACAATAATATTTGACGGGAATTCTTACTTTGATTTCTCATTTTACAATACGTTTACACATATTTATTTTTTATATTTTATTTACACTACGTGGGGGATAAACTAAATTTATTTTTTTCAAATTGAATACTGATATAATTACTCGAAATTGACATGTCTCGCAACATGAGTGGTACTACTTGATTCGTTATTTCTGGTTTAATAGTCCCAATTCATAAAGTTATGTCCCTGTATTATATAGTAATATAGTATAATGAATTGAATCTGGTTAGTTAGAGAAGAAAATGTCACACGGAAAATTCAGTTTTGTTTATAAAATTTATTTGATATTTTGTGCACGTTGAAAGTGTTGAGAAATGTGGATAAATCTTTGTGTCAATATCCAAAATGACAGGCATATTAATTATTTGCAGTTACTGCGAATTAAAAACGTTAGATTTTAATTTTTGATTAGCAACGGACAAAATAAGTATCGCAAGTTGTGCTGCGATACTGGTTGTCGGCAGCCCTGGGCACTAATAAAATAGTACCTGACATTTTCAACTTAGTGCCGGACATGTATTAATAATATCAATAAAAAAGACAAATCAGTGCCGGACAAAATGACAGGCACCAGAGGTTTTGTGCCTGACAAAGTCTGAATCTGTGCCTGACATTGTCTGTGACAGGTGCCTTATTTCCAGGCTTGAGTACTTGGACCAACTACGGAACCCTCTAGCACCTTAAACTACATTTAACGACTGTTACTAGGACTGTATCTAGTCGGCCAGTTTGAGGCTCTAGAGAAAACAGTAGTTTGTAGTTGGTTTCAAAATTAGCTACAACACATCATTTTAACTCTAGGTTTACTTAAATGTACAAAGTGTTAATAGGTTTGAAACATTTCATGATAATATGAATTTCCTCTGATTTTTTTGGCGGGGTTGTATCATGAGGTCTGTCATTGAGTCAACTGGTGTGGTTTCGATTCCACAGTTGGACGTGACAAGGAGTAGGGTCGCCTAGCTGTCCAACCTCGTGGAATTTCGCCGGGTCCTCCGGTTTCCTTCCACTACTAAAGACCCCTACGCGCGAAGCGAATTAATGAAATAAAATTGAACTATATGTTAGTGCCGCAATGACCTAGTTTGTGTAGAATGGACACTAAACCCCATCTCTCTCTCTCTCTCCCTCTCTCTCTCTCTCTCTCTCTCTCTCTCTCTCAGATTTTTTATGCATTTTCTCCAATTCACTAGTAAATGCCAGTGTGAAATTTTATTGCTTTTGTTTAAATGTGTCAAGATTTCATATCTTCAAGATTGTAAGAAAGTTTGTCTGAGATTCACATAAATTTAAGACCTGGACAAGTTTTTTAGTTTAAAGTATTGTAATTTAATGCAGCAGAAAGCTTGCAGCCTTGTCTGACATGCTGTATTTTAAATTTAAAGCCTGTCTAGTCTTGGTGTTGTAGTTTTAAACACCAGATGTTAGAGGGAAGAATTTAACATTTAAAAATATCCAATTACCATTCTTTTACAACCAGATGCAAACATTTACAGCTTAAAGTCACACTCATTGTCGTTTGTATTTTATGAACAATATTAGATATTTCAATTTTCACAGCTTAATTCATGCTAAGATGTATTAAAGTGTATTTATTTAACATTTAGTTTTTTAAAAAAACTACCCTCAATTGCTGTCGTTATATAAGTTTTCTGTGTAACCCTGAATTGTCTTTCTATAAAGGGGGGTTGGATGGCTGAATGGTTAGTGTGCGCGCACTGTATCATAAAGTCTGTCATTGAGTCGACTGGCGTGGTTTCGAATCCCCGGTTGTACGTCACAAGGAGTGGGGGCGCCTGTCCAACCTCGTGGGTTTTCTCCGGGTCCTCCGGTTTCCTCCCACTGCTAAAGACCCATACGCGCAATCGAATTATGTAAATAAAATTAAACCATATGTTAGTCTCGAAATGACCTAGTTTGTGTCGAGTGGACCTTAAACCCCATTTCTCTCTCTCTCTCGTTCTATAAATAAATTTTCTGTATATAAATGACCCCCCAGACATTTTACCTAATTACATCGGCTCAGTGCCATTATTAGGTATGATATAATATGTACATGACTAATTAAAATTTG